CGTTTGCAAAGAGCTTGTCATTGCAGAAGATCTTTATTGCAAAACGTCTTCTACCTCCGAATAAATTATTCCTCAAAAGCTACATATCTAGCAGGAATCGCAAATTTATCGATATACTCCCTGACGTTGAGAGTTATTTACTGGTCAGGAGAAAGATTAGATCACAACTGGGGCAAAAATCCAACTTTATCAGCGCAATAAACACAAAGGCAACTCCAGCCGACACAAATAAGAAGACTGAGCGGCATAACAAAAGACTAAGAAGACAATAAAATTTACGAGTGTGAACTTTTTACATGTTCGAATACAAAATACAAAAAAATTAATAAATTAATAAAGAAGTGATAGAGAGGTAGGAAATATTGCAATATATCAACTTGGATGACTAGCTCAATAAAAAAAGAATTAATTAAGAAAAAAACCACAACAAAACAAAAAGGAGAAATGAAAACCATTTGCAATTAAATTCACATAAAGGTACTCAAACAAACTATCTGCGAAAGTATCTTTTCATCACCAGTAAATTATTCGGTTAAGAAGTTTAAGAAAGTGTTAAGCTATCTTTAAACATTTGCTATTGTGGAGATGAATAACAAAACTTCCTTTAAACATATAACATGCAGGTGTTAAACGGTTACTGTGACTATGAAGGACTAATGTCCCTTCTCTATTCCCGATCATAAATGAGTAATGGTGAGGCTAACCTTGTGATGAGACATAAGCAAGTATCATGAAGAACAAAAATAACAGAAAAAAGATAAAAATCGACTTCTTCATCGCGCGGATCGCCAGGTTTCCGCGACTGACTTCTGGAATTATACGCAAATTGATGTGGAAAAACTTATTTGAATTGTTTTTGTTATGGTAAAAATTTCTGTTGTTTTTTTTTTTTTTAAACAATGAGACTTGGGTGTTTTCCTTACTGTTTTTTCTTTAACAATGAGACTTGGGTGTTTCCTTACTGTTTTTCGTTTTAATTTGATATCTTTGGCCCTTATTCCAGCACGAAAACAATTCACTGGATGAGAATCGTCTTCCTCCCTGAAATAAATTGTTGAAAACTAGAGTACCCGGAGCACTTAACGACAAATCGTTATGAATATTTCAGAAACTTTTTTCCACTTGAAATGAGTATTTGCTAATGATGCAACACCTATGTCCGCTGGATGATCAAAATAATGGTCCTTCTTATTCGTCTTTCTTCACTCATTTATCAAGATTAATGCTGACACAGTCAGGTTCCACAAAACACATGCTGTCACAAAAATCCATTGACATGACTTCAAAGATGCGAATCATGTAGTTTATAAAACGTCTTCCGTCAAATGCTTTTCCACGCGTAAAATTTCAACATTTTATCGTCATTGGTTTGCGTCAAAAGAGTCTTAGAAATTTAGAAGGAAAAAAAAAATATATATATATATATAGGAAGTCTGTGTATTGATTTTTCCGTTAACATTGCTTGATACGTAGAAGTAGAGCGCGATATATGTTGCGATAGTGGAAAAAAACAGAGAGACTATACTTTCATCCCTACAAGCCTGTTTTGTGATTGCGCACTTATCAGGGGGTTTTATTGTTAAGAATATTCGTACCATCGTTTATATACTCTATAAATTTGCCTAAAGATGATACTTCAATTGTTACGCAGTAACGTTTTGTTTCTGTGGCGGCATGAGAATATTGTCCATACTGTTCTCTACATATTTCCTGGTATCCCGATTGGTAAAATAGACATGCTACGGTCTCTGTTGGGAGAAGAACAGCTATCGACTCGCTGGAAGCTCCCATCTAGGACAGTATGTTTCCATGGCTTTGAAACAGGAAATTGAACGGATTAAACAAGAATCGGAAATGCCTGGTCAAGTTGGCATGACAAGGGACCTTTCAGTCATTTTTGACGGCAACACCAGACAAGAGGAAGCAATTGCTATAATAGTTCGTTTTGTGGACAATAACTGGAACATTATCCAACGGCTTGTGAGAATTGATGTTTGCTCTAAGTCAGTTAATGCCAACAGACTAGCACAAGTTCTTAATAAGTACCTGTCTGTTGATTCTGGGGTCAGAGCAAATTCCTTGCTCACAGCCATGAGAGACGGTGCAAGCATTAACCAAGCAGCACTAGACAGAATGGCATTTATATTCCCTAAGATGCTGAATGTCGTGTGCTTCTCCCATACGCTTGAAAATGTAGGAAACCATTTGGTGATTCCTAAACTGGTAGAGTTCGGAAGCCTTTGGATTAGAATGTTTCGCCATGGTTGTAAAGCCAAGCTGTTATGGAAGGATGTAACAGATGGTGGTCCAAATGGGAGGTGTATCATCCGTTGATGGTGCAGTTTGGAGATGTCACAAGGTTCTCATAAGAGGCAAAAGACACAAAAGTTTGCCCACAACTACTACCACAACTTCGAGCAATACTTTCTGACCCACAGCGACTAATGGACTTGAAGCTTGAGCTTGCCGCTTGGCAAACATTTTGTGAAAGCCACGTATTTTTTGGAAGGGGATGGTCCTTTGGTTTTTTCTTGCTACGAGAAACTAAGCACCGTTTCCCGATTTTGTCAAACTCCTCGTTTCCCAAACGTCCGTGCAACTGCAACTGCAACTGCGGAGGAAGACCCATGTCAGAACGTAACAGCACTTGAACGGAGTGCGAAGGCTTGTGTTGAGCCGGCAATTACGTGGTTTCTGAGAAAGTTCAATGTCGATCTTTATGATGTAGTGGTAGTATTCAAGGCTGCCAGACTATTCTGCCCCGTTAGGATCCAGTGGTTTAAGCCCACAAATGCATTAGTAGAGTATCTGAGAGCATTTCCTTTCCTGGATAGTGATACTACTATCGACGGTCTCAAAGCTGAGCTTCCTGCCTATTTGGCTGCCGCTGAAGATGTTGTTATCTCGACAGAAGAGAAGAAAGTCGAATGGTGGTGTGGGCTCGAGGAGCAACTTCCTCGTTGGGCTTCCGAAGTGAAGCAAGTTCTTTTTGTCCAACCATCGTCTGCTACGGCAGAAAGAGTATTTTCAATACTGAAGGCGCCCTTCAACGAGCAACAGAATTGTGCTCTTGTTGACTACCTCCAAGCCAGCGTCATGTCACAGTACAACAAGCGCTAAGGACTTCGAACATTAGTTAACTGTTTATCATTGGACAAGTTTTGACTGTATCAGAAGTTTTATAAACAAACAGTTAAACACTGTTAACTTTATTCAGTTGCTAATACACACATGATGCCTGAGTTTCTACGTTTTGCTTGAAATTAAACAAAGCATTTTCTGACACCAAAGTAGCACTATTTCGAGAATCGAGCATAATTTGAGCATTTTTTTGGTGTAAAGCGGAATTTCTAGGAGCATGAAATGCCAGATTTAGTAGCATAATCAGGAAAGGCCTATACATAAATGAATTCTGATGAATCATATTGTAAAAACTTGAACACTGCATCCAAACCTTCCACATCATCATCATTATCATTTCGGTTTTGATTGCTGTTAAATCAAATAAATGTTGCATTAGAGAGCTTAAACGGTTCAACCATTTCAAAACCATTTTACTAACAAAATTTGTTTTTATAGGTAGTGTTTGATTGACAGTTACTGTTATTGTAATACGAATCTGTAGTCAGCACCCCGCGTTTATTAAGATTGAGCTCTCTGTGATCCAAAGGCTGTATCAAACCAACACTTCTAGAGGTTTTATTATACATTCGATTGCAGACGTAATCAAAAGAGCAGAGCGATACGATCAAGTGAAAATCAAAACAAAGAAACGGAAGAAAAATATCGTTGCCTCTCACAACTCCGTCGCTTACGTTCCATTGAAATCCTACCGAATTGTCGGAGTCGTAACCGGGAGACTGTTAGGAAGGGCCTGAGAACTAGCGTTAGAGTTTACCCCGGAAATGAAAGAAAGGAAAGAGCAACAGTTTTCAATCATGCTTTCATAATATATCGATTGATGAATTGAAAATTTTCCAGATGAGTTCGTTCATTTAATTGCTACAGTTCCCAATGGACAGAAGAAAGGCAAAAAATTGGTTGTACGGGATCTAATAGGTTGTGATAGATAAAATTACCATCCTTCTGAAACAACATCACGAAATTGCCAAATTTGGTGGCCTGTCGAGGATAAGGATACCAATGGCTAACTTTCATCATGCTAGTTCTATGATGAAATAGTGCAATTTTGGATTTTCGTGCTCATTTTTTTCTCAGCACAAGTGTGCGTCTGCGAGTAGAAAAGCCAATGACATCACGAAATGAGATCGTACTGATCTTTTTAAAACCAATTTTTCGAATTTAACGGAGGATATCTGAAATTTTGGTGAGGGAAGTCATGACCTCTGGAAATATCCAGGAAAGAAATCCGTGCGAATGGTGAGCTAATAATCATCTTGTTAATATTAGTATCATATTTAACTCAGAAACTGACGTCTTGAACAAATAATACATAAAAATTCTGTCATTCTGGTGAAAGCGAGAAAGATAAGCAATACTTCGGGAGGGTATTACTTTTGCATTCTGTTAGTTCTCATATCTGAGTTAATTATTTTCTATAAAAATCGTTAACGCCAGTGGGCTCCTAGTTATTTTGAACTGGCGAAATTTTTCATGTTTTTCACAAGAGCAGAAAGATGCGCGAGGTGAGCGTAAAGAACAACACGAGCGGTGAAAATAAAAAAAAACATTAAGGAAGTCACATTTTCCGTGCTCCTTCTTTTCTATGTTACGCTCACACTTAACGACGTGGACGTATCATAAACATTGAATATGGCCTCTTTGCCAATATTTACTTCTTTAACAAAACCTGAATTGGCTTTGCACAAATGAAATGCTTTGAATTTCATTGAAAAAACTATACTAGAGACAAACCTAACCAGAGAAGAATATAAGGTGAAACTCATTGCTTTATTAGCCTTTAAGCTTTAGGACACGACATTTTCTTCTTCATTATGGCTTCTCGGCTTAAAATTTGGGAGGTTAAACTGCGTCCCCTATTACTGTACCAGGATGTAACCCATGGCTTTGATGTGCTTGTGTCCATTATCTGGCGAGTACGTTGCCTCATTTCCACACGTGTTAGAATCATCAAATAGACCTCCTGTACCAAAACCAATTCGGGAGTCACAGGAACCACAGTTATTCTCCTGGTTAGCGGTGATGCCGATTCTTGCTTTGGAATGACGAGGGTTGCTTCCCACTGCATTGAATCCTTCCTTATTGCAGTTGGGCTGCAAGGAGGCCCGTGAACCAATCAGCCACTTCCACGTGTTACGGCCCAATGAGGTGGCGCGGTATTTCCCATCAGCGATCAGTGAGAACAATGAGTTGGCGTGCCTGTTGATGACAATGAACCTGAGCTGATGACCAATCTTCATACCGAGGCAGATCTTGGAGAAGGGTGTGCTCCAGTAGGTTGGTAACTTGGTCTCTTGTGAGTCAAAGCCAGTCTTGCCTCCAGCAAAGTTATAACTATTTCTGTTGCTCCAGAAATGGGAATCGTAATGGAAGGTTCTCTGAAAAACAAGAACTGCATCTTTTATTTGCCTTCGTTAATTTCAGCGATATAGAGAGTTTATAAAAGAAGGAGGTAGTTAACCTTCACGCCATCAATCTTCATGGCCAGCGTCCATCCTCCATCCCCACATCCAAAGTTTCCCATGTGACAGAAAACAGGGATCTTTTGGGAACCAAACATTAACGGGTATACTTGGCTTTGTCTCGACCTTACGTAAAAAGATGAAGTCAAAAAAACTGAGTCAGCCTGTATGCAAACGTAGGGTCCTCATATCTACCACAATGGAATGTAAATATGCATCAAGTTAGTGATTTGGAATCTCACAATTAAAACAGATTGCTCTGTACTTACCTTCCTATGTGGTACTGTTCCTTGCAAGAGGAGAAGGGACCGGCTATGAGAAAAATAAGACCGCCATTTTAAGATCTGAGCGTGTTGAGAATACTTGAAATATGAAAACATTAAATACCATATCCCAATATCATCGAAAATGTACCTGAAGGCTTTGGAGGCAAAGCGTCCTTAACCAGCGCAATAAGATTGTCCACTTTCGTTTCAAGCGTCTTAATGGCGGTACATGAATGTTGTCTGGCGTCGCTTAAAACAGGGAACACCGCAAGGATATTTGCGATGAAATGAACTGCAAATAGCAAGCGCATTTTGAGAATTGATTGACTTTGGAAAATATTTTCTGTGCTGCTCAACCTGTGAATAACTGATTATGATGATTTTGCTTCGTAATTGTAAGTTATCATCATCAAACACAACTCGAATTTTCTTGCTCGCATTCAGCGACATCCAATAGACAGGTTCCAAGTTGAAGATTATTTTTAACTTAATTCACTGTGCCTTGAAATAGACTTTGAAAATCTGCTCACAATATAGCTGTCTATCTGATGAAAAATCGTTGAACGGCCGATTTGTGAGCGGTGATAATGCAATTTAATAAATTCAAATTAATTTTCTGTTTATCTTAACGAATTGACTACATGATTTTTGCATGCATGCAGACACTGATTGTTTTGTCTTTGGTCCATATATTTTGATAAAAATGAGTAAAACGGTAAAGACGGTGATGGGCTTATCGAGGGCTGTGCTTTTGGCAACCGGAATATTACATTCACTAGTTTCGCATTTTCCCGGTCAATGAATAAAGTGAGATATTGCCAGTTAACGGAGTCGTATAAAGACATAAAGTGGCTAGGTTTCCAGGGATGCTGGAGTTTTGCGTCGGTGGGATATTACACGATAGTTTGGTTCTTTCAGCTAATTTGATAATCTAGTTTGGCAACTGTAAACATCTAAAGTTAATATTTCGATTGTTAGCCCTTGTTCAGAGCGAAAGCTCGAAAGCTCTGATCAAGGGCTACGCTCGAACATTATCAATTCAGTAAACAAAACCAAATTATCTCGTATAAATTAAAGCTTAACACAAAATCAAAAAGATATCAGATCACGCTATGTTGACATTCTGCCTTGGTTCAACACAAAACATTTGTTGGGCTAATACAGATTTAAAACGGGAAACTGAAACCTTAATTCCGGGACCAACTTGAGGACCAGCTTCAACCCTCTCAGGCCTTATAAACTTAATTTATAAATGTTGATAATACAAACTTAGGCAGCATCTAAATAAAGTGACCGGGGCCGTTTAACATGACTATAACTTCTGTTCATTTATAGCCTTTATGACCTTCAATACTTCGTTTGTGAATCGTGCTGCTCGATAAGCGTTACAGTTGCTTTCCATGTTTGAAACAACTTGTGCGAGATCATTTGTCTGTCATGACTGTCTGCACTCTCAGAGCACAATAAAATAATTATGTTGTCAAAGAATGTCAGTTTTAACGCAGAATAGTAATTTACCCTTCAACAAAGTTGCCCCAAACTCTGAAGATTTTTTTAACTTTTTACTCTAACATAAGAAACAAATTCTCCTTCCCTGAAAATTTAATCTGTTCAAGATTAGGCCAAAGTACAGAAAGAACACGTAAACAGTTTCTCTGAACCATTAAGTGAAATGTCAATCAAATGAGTGTTTCCTACTTGAAACCGATTGAAAGTGTTTCAGTGTTTCAGAGTAAATTCAGTTTACATCCGATTTTGCTAATTGAGTGGTCTCCTTTTCGCGTATCTGGAGGTTTCGCCCCACTACTACCGGTAACTTTCTGAGTACAGGCAGACCTTGGAATTTGCTGCAAACAGCATAAATTATAATAGTGTCAAAGCAGATAAAGATCAGAATTATGTAGCGGCCTAGCATCACCATCCTGTTTCGGGCGTTCTGTCAGGAAAACGAAGTCCTATACTGAACCACCCTACAGTGGTGGAGGAGTGAAAAAAATACGAGGGAGATTTTGGGTAGAGTGCGTAATGACCCGACCCAAGCTTCCCTCGCTCCTATAGCGCCGTTTGCCATTTCGCTCGGTTTTACTGACTAAAGGCCTGGAACTGGCCAAGTATGACTCATGCGGTAGTCGTGCGTCAAGTAACACGTCTAAGAATTTGCAGGCACATCAACACTTTTATTGAGATTACTCAATTGTAAATAAATTATTTCAAATATGTTAATTTTACAGTTAAATACGGTTCAACCAGCAAGAATAAAGTTGTTGTACAAGTATAAATTCTGATTAATCATATTGTGAAAACTGGAACACTGCATGAAAACTTTCCGCATCATCATCATTATCATTTCGGTTTTAACCGCTGTTAAATTAAATAAATGTTGCAAAAGAGAGCTTAAACGGTTCAATCATTTCAAAGCCATTTTACTTACAAAATTTATTTTGTGGTCAGCACCCCGCGTTTATTAAAACCCTCTGTGATCCAAAGGCTGCATCAAGCCAACACTTCCAGAGGTTTTATTATACATTCGATTGCAGTCGTAATCAAAAGAGCAGAGCTATATGCTCGGGTGAAAATCAAAACAAAGAAACGGAAGAAAAATATCGTTATCTCTCACAACTCCGTCGCTTAGGTTCCAGTGAAATCCTATCGAATTGTCGGAGTCGTAACCGGGAGACTGTTAGGAAGGGCCTGAGAACTGCCATTGAAGTTTACCCCAGAAAGGAAAGAAAAGAAAGAGTAATAGTTTTCAATCATGCTTTCATGATATATCGATTGATGAATTGAAAATTTTCCAGATGAGTTTGTTCATTTAATTGCTACAGTTCCCAAAAGACTGAAGAAAGGCAAAAAATGGTTGTACGGGATCTAATAGGTTGTGATAGATAAAATTACCATCCTTTTGAAACAAGGTCACGAAATTGCCAAATTTGGTGGCCTGCCGAGGATAAGGATACCAATGGTTAACTTTCATCATGCTAGTTCTATGATGAAATAGTGCAATTTTGGATTTTCGTTTCTTTTTTTTTCAGCACACGTGTGCATCTGCGAAAAGAGATAACTGACACCATCCCATGAATAGTTTGGCTTAAGAGTGGTGTTGGTGTAACTTTTGTTTCCCTAGAATCATAAAATCCGATAATCGCGAGCTAAACGTGTAATTAAGGACAGAAAAAGATAGTTTTGTGGGGAACTCTTCTTCATCGTCTTTTTAAAATGTCCGTTACTTCCTGATTTTATCTCTTCCTATCTGAATTTTAAACCAATCAGAACCAATTTACGCGGCTCAAGTAGAAAAGTCAATGACATCACGAGATGAGATACTACTGATCTTTTTATGTCAATTTTTCGAATTTAACGTAGGATATCTGAAATTTTGGTGAGGGAAGTCACGACCTCGGGAAATATCCCGGAAAGAAATCCGTTCGAATGGTGAGCTAATAATCATCTTGTTAATATGTACATTCATATTTAACTTACAGACTGACCTCTCAAATGGTACACAAAAATTTGTCATTCTGGTGAAAGCGAGAAAGATAAGCAATACTTTGGGAGGGTATTGCTTTTGCATTTTGTTAGTTCTTATATCTGAGCTAATTATTTTCTATAAAAATCGTTAACGCCCGTGGGCTGCTGGTTACTTTGTAGAACTGGCGTAATTTTTTAAGTTTTTCACTCGAGCAGAAAGATGCGAGAGGTGAGCGTAAGGAGTAACGCGCGAGAGAAAAAAAAACATGAAGGAAGTCACATTTTCTGTGCTTCTTCTTTTCTGTTACACTTCCTTGATTCGCTCACACTCAACGACGTGGACGTATCATAACATCGAATATGGCGTCTTTGCCAATATTTACTTCGTAAACAATTCCTGAATTGGCTTTGCTAAAATGAATTCCTCTGAATTTCATTGAAAAAAATTATACTAGAGAAAAGCTAACCAGAGAAGAATATAAGGTTAAACTCATTGCTTTATTAACCTTTAAGCTTTAGGACACGACATTTTCTTCTTCATTATGGCTTCTCGGCTGAAAATTTGGGAGGTTAAACCGTGTCCCCTGTTACTGTACAAGGATGTACCCCATGGCTTTGATGTGTTTGTGTCCATTATCAGGGGAGTATGTTGCCTGATTTCCACATGTGTTTGAGTCATCATGATTACCCCCTGTGCCAAAACCAATTCGGGAGTCACAGGAATCACAGTTATTCTCCTGGTTAGCAATGATGCCGATTCTTGCTTTGGAATGACGAGGGTCGCTTCCCACTGCATTGAATCCTTCCTTATTGCAGCGGGTCTGCAATATCACTGCTCACAATATAGCTGTCTTTCTGATGAAAAATAGTTGGACGGCCGACTTGTGAGCAGTGATACTGCGATCTAATAAATTCAAATCACTTTTATGTTTATCTTTTCGAACTATTTTTGCATGCATGCATGCCCACATATTCAACTAAGACCCTGATTGTTTTGTCTTTGGTCCATATATTTTGATATAAACGAGTAAAACGGTGAAGACGGCGATGGGCTTATCGAGAGCAGTGCTTTTGGCAACCGGAATGTTACATCCACTAGTTTCGCATTTTCACGGCCAATTAATAAAGCGAGATATTACCAGTTCAACGGAGTCGTATAAAGACATAAAGTGGGTAGGTTTCCAGGGATACTGGGGTTTTGCGTCGGTGGGGTGTTGGTTCATTCAACTGAGTTGATAATCTAAATTTGTAACTGTAAAGACCATCCATAGCTGATATTTTGATCGTTAGCCCTTTGTCAGAGCGAAAGCTCTGATCAAGGGCTACGCTCGAACATTATCAACTCAGTAAACAAAACCAAATTATCTCGTATAAATTAAAGCTTTACACATAAAGTCAACAAGATGTCAGATCTCGCTATGTCGCCATTGTGCCTTGGTTCAACACAAAACATTTGTTGGGCTGATACAGAATTAAAACGTAAAACTGAAACCTTTATTCCGGGACTAACTTGAGGAACAGCTTCAACCCTTAACTCTTCATAAACATAATTTTTACTGACTGAAGGCCTGGAACTAGCTAAGCATGACTCGTGCTCTAACGAAGGGCTAACGCTTCCCCTTTACGGTGGCCAATTTACGTTTTCAACTCAGTTGTTAACACTAAATTACCTGCTATACTCTCCTACAGACACAGCACTACAGTTTCTTTAGAAACTTACCCCCTTTAAGAATTTGCAGGTTGATCAACACTTTAATCAAGATTACTCCATTGTAATTTAATTATTTCAAATGTGTTTATTTTACAGTTAAATATGGTTCAATCAACAAGAATAAAATTGTTATACATGTATAAATACTGATGAATCATATTGTGAAAACTGGAACACTGCATCAAAACCTTCCTCATCATCATTATTTTGATTTAAATTGCTGTTAAATCAAATAAATGTTGCAAAAGAGAGCTTAAACGGTTCAATTATTTCAAAGCCATTTTACTTACAAAATCTATTTTCATAGGTGGTGGTTGATTGACAATTATTGTTCACTCACTGCAGTATAAAAACGTACTAGCTCAATTACAAGTGTTCTCTTGTACCAAACACATCATGGAATATTAGCCAGAATTCTTGGTATATGCTATTGTGCTTCTGCTAACAAGCAATAAGTTAGCTTAAAAGATTCTTTAGTCTTAACCAAACTGTTCCTGTCGATAAAGGCTGGCAAGAATCACTGACTTCCACTTTATTAACCTCCTGAGATTTCCATGCATATAATTTAATGCATAACCTTGACAACCCTGGGTAAACTTTGATGGACTGAGAAAGCTTCCAAGCTTCCAGTTTGTCAAAAACTCTGCATCACTTTAACTTCTTTCCAAAAGAATTGTTGTGAAAAAAAAATTTACATCCAGTGTGGCCATTATAAAATTGAACAGTCAAGCTGGACTTTGATCTGCTCTGGATCTCAGTGAAAGTGGATTTTCCAAAAATTTGGTACATTGTGGAGAAGGACCCAAGAGGAACTTAATCACTCTTCATCACTGGAATGTGAAAGCAAATTCAACTCATCCATGTTGACATGTCCTGGAGCCTGTAAAGACATATAATGAAAAAGACACTTAAGGTACATTTATGCAAATGTTTCATCTTACACAGATTCTTGATTCTCCTTTCTGGAAATGATAAACTAAACCATACCCAGAAAGACAGATTAATTTGAGATGGTAACAGCTTGCATGCTTAATCTCCACAATAATAAATCATTTATACCATAAACGCTCCTGAAATAATTCAGGTGTAAGTGTTTCCTGCTATTTAAAGTCCCACAAAACACCCACATTTGGTTACGTTTTCTTTATCTATTACAGACACTCTCTAGGATGAAAGTTTCTCTAACCTCACAGACACACTCTGGGATTCCACATTCAGCCAACTCTATTTTAAGACACTAATGCCGTGCCAATACTCTAACTTTCAAAGTGAGCTCAAAATGCTTTGAAAAATATTTCACAGCTTCTTCCCTTCTCTGAATCAGAGGATAGTCAATCACAGGTTACAGGCACTTCTCAACCAATCATTAATTCAAGACAGCACTAATTTAAAACAGCTTCTTGTGAAAACACCACACAAGTGACAAGGAATGAAGGATTCCATGTTGAAATGCTCCAAAGACACCTTGCAGAAAAATGTTCAGGCTAAGATGAAACATTATGGCCACACCTCAACCAACTTTGAAAGGCTAGCCCAGGACAGGACAGGGTGGAGAAGGGAGATCATTGATGGTCTTCACTCCAGGAGGAGCTATGGACATAACTATTTAACATTTTGAAACCCATTAAAAACTTAAGTTTGGAAATGAATTACCTTTCCAAAGTAGCGCACTTTCTTTAGCTTTCGTCGACGGCAACATCTGCACAGCACAACCAGTAGTGCAATGAGCAGTGCTGCACAGGCTCCTGCACCAATTGGGGTGAGCACATTAACATAGAAAAATTGCACACTCTGTAAAGAAATTATTGAAAATGATTAGTGAATTTAAGAAGCTACTTAAGAAATTATGTCAAGCTAGCTTAAGAGGAAAATAATACAACAACTCCTATTAATATTGGCTAAGGTAATTAATTATTCAATAACAATAAATACTGAATATTACATAGAAATTATCACTGAAAATACCTTTTCATCATCCAAAGGAGATGGCACTGAAAGAGAAAATAACATAAACATTTTATCAATGATTAAGAAAAAAACAAATTAGAGGGAATGAAGTAATAAACAACATTAAAAAAGGCAGATGACAACTGTATTGAAACGTCACCACTGAGTCTGTGCCAAAATATAATTGCAGAAACATAGTACATGCACTCTCATTAATGCAACTGACTCATGTTAAAGTACAAAAGTGATCAAATTAGTTCTATAAAGGACTGACTAAAATACTGAACAAACTATAAACATTTTATTACCATAATTGACATTACTGTACATTAAATAAATGGGGGTAAGTTTCTAAAGAAACTGTGGTGCTGCGTCAATAGGAGAGTATAGCAGGTAATTTAGTGTTATATAGCTGACGTTTCGAGTGTTAGCACTTCATCTTGAAATGTTGAAACTTAAGCTTTTTTTACCCTTTACGTTTTCATTTATGTTTTCAACTCAGTTGTTAACACTAAATTACCTGCTATTACTGTACATTGATAAGCTATTTACAAAACAACTAAGTTCATTATTTCAACTGCTCTTGTTACTGTGAATATTACCATTACAAATATTATAAATACTATTGTTATTGTTGTCATTTCTATTATTTATTATCATCTCCACCATTACAATCATTCTTACAAGTTATATCTGTTTGAATTTCTTCCCTTTCAATTGGTTTAGTTTAAATGTATTTGGACAGCTAACATTGCTTAAAAAATTCATTCATACCAATTACATGGACATGCTGTTGTGATAGCAACCAAAAAACTTTGGCCGCATATTTAGTGAATCAGACTTCTTGTGAATTGCTACAACCCTTCTGTTAGGGCTAACATTTCAGTAGCAATATGCACAGTTTTTCACTCAAGTGTGGAAATGTAACATATATATTTCTGCATGCAGTGCTTATTTGCAATGAATTCAACTTTTATACCTTGTTGGTGTTTGTGTGGTTATCACAACTTAAGTAAACCTCCGAGAGACCAAAGGCTAAAAACGTCTCCAAAACCACATTTTGCTATCTTCCTACTCCTCCACTTGACTACTTTATACTGATATTGACACTAATATCATTGATATCTGCATTCTGTAGAAAATGCAGTGCAACTCTGAATATCACAACGAAAATTGTTTGCTTCTACTGTAGATTTCCATTGTAAATGTACTGCATAAACCCGCACTTAAATGTAAAATGAGTTGCAGATGTCTGCAAAGCTGTCATACAAATTAACATAACTTTTAACCATCATATTTGACAGTCGTTATTTTAGGTAATTCTCCTGTTGTCGTCAATTTTGAAAGATCTGGTGTTCTTGAAACGTTTTCTCATTTAACAACCTCTGAATTAAAAAAAGGAAATTAAAAACTTACACGAATGCTGTTGATCATCTTTCGAAGAAGTTGTTCTTTGCAAGGATTCTTGTGTTGTCGTAGTAGTCTGGACTGTTTTCACTGTTTCCTTGGTTGTGGTGGTCTGAGTTGTGCTTTCTTTTGTGGTAGTTTCCTTAGCGCTTGGAGGAGACGAGGCTTCCTGAGTGGTGATAGATGCTGTCGATCTCTCGGCCGTTGTCTCCTTGGTTGTAGTACTTGGAGTTGTCGATTTTTCGGTAGTTGTCTCTTTCGCTGTAGTGCTTGGAGTAGTTGATTTTTCGGTAGTTGTCTCCTTCGCTGTGGTACTTGGAGTAGTTGATTTTTCGGTAGTTGTCTCTTCCGCTTTAGTTACCGTAGTTGTCGATTGCTGAGTTGCTGTACTCGATATTTCGTTGCCTTCTTGTGCCTTAGTTGTCGGAGATTCCGTTGCGTTTGAGATTGCACCCTCCAAATTTGTTGTAGTTGGTGCAGCAACGGTAGCATTAGCGGAAGCGTTAACAGAGATCGAGCTTGAAGTTGTGGTGACATTCCCTTCTGTGGCGTTTTGCGAAGAGGTGCCATTAACTAGCGATCCATTTGTTAAAGTCCCATTTAGAGTCTGAATCGATGGCGTCGCTGTAGTGGCGTTAATCGAGGATGTTATATTTTCGATAGTGCGATTTCCAGAATTAATTGTGTTGTTTGATGTGATGGAAGATTTTGTTGCATTAGAAACCAGATCAGCGATAAAGGAACTATTTATGACACTTCCATTTCTGCAAACAAGCGATAAATTACCAGTTTTAGCAATCTCACAGTGTTTTGTGAGATTTAACGCTGTCCCGTTGCAGAGTAAGAGACGCTGAGTTCTATTTGACTCGCATAAATTTGTCAAATTAACTTGGACATAGACCACAGTTCCGTTGCCCTGCAAAGTAGAATTCTGCGTCGTGCAGTTGGAAATTGTGGCATTACACGTAGTCGTCGAGTTAGCAGCTGTTGAATTCTGCAGCGAAGAATTATTATTTCTAGAGGTGGTGTTCACAGATGAAAAATTCCCTGTATTATTGGTTCCATTCAAAGGAACAGCGTTCGTGTGCGAAGTCCACAGAGAAATCAGAACTGTAATTGCCGCTGAAATGGCCAACACGTAGTGTCCGTAGTTCTTGTACATATTTTCGTTGAAAATATAAAAATGTTTCACCACAAAATGGCACTTAACAATACCACACAAGTTCCTCGAGTGACTGAGATTCTTTACAATATCTCCCGAATCGTTTACAAGACGATAAAGAACTTTGAACTGGGTAAATTATCTTTCACAGCCCGATAACCTACCGTGTAATGCAGTAGAGACTCGGAATGTATGACGTCACATTATTGCCAGTTCCCTCAATGGCTTTTGTCCGATATTGACACAATTAATAATTCATACTCGAAAGTAATTAAAGCTGCGAATATAGGCTAAGTACTCTATTTGTGTAGTAAAAAGATGTCTGAGCAGCGTAGGCTTTTCTTTCCTTCTTCTCCTTCAACTGCTTCCTTTTTTTTTTTTTACATGGGTACTACCCACAGAAGGCAATTTTTAAGATGAAAAAGATTAAGACACTTTTCAATAGTATGACTACCGGACAAAATGAAATTTTAGTACAGTTTTGACAATTAAACATCACATGAATGCATGAATGTCCCTTCTGCTTGATAATTTCACTTTGCTTTCATGAATTTGGAATTTTTCATTTTGATATGTTATCATTCAAAAAGAAATTCTAACTATTTTTTTTATGGAGACAAAGAAAAAAAATAAAGAAAAAAAAAGAAAAGAACAATGTTTTGTGTTGATAAAATGTATGGCAAAATTTAAAATTTTTATCTTAAGACCAAGTTTTTGTTCCAGTAGCAGACAAAATCACTTAAGTGATAACTTTCATCTTCTCAATTAATAAAAACTTTTAACTGTTAAAACTCAATAAAACTCAACTAAGTTAAAACTCAGCAAAGCGTGGAACATGACTCTAAGGAGTCCTGGGGTGTTACAGCTTCTGTCACTTGCATTCGACTGATTTGCTAAGAGGGAGTTCTCTCAAATAAAGCTCTACACTCATCCTCCAGCACTCCACAGAACACTTCATAATGATGGTTAAGTCCAGTTTGAGTGTGAATCTTATATCTGCTGCCTAGAGCACCAGTTTTATTGTCACTACAACCATAGAAAACCCGTCTGATTCTTGAGTGCACCAATGCCATTGCACACCTTGGAAAGGAATAGAGAAATAAGAATCTAACAAACTGTGGATTGAGTAACAAAATAGAGATAGAAACATTTAAGTTTTACCTGTTCAATTCACGCCCGAGATCTTTTATCTGTCTGCCTTGCGATTCTTGTAAAGTTTAGTGAGATGATTGGGCATTGAATCAACTAATAATCCCTTAATTTATATTTTCCTTCATTCTCCTCACTTGTCTGCTTTATATTGTTTTGACATTGTAGGGAGAAACTGTGTCTTGGTCACTCATGGGAGTCAGGGTAAAATAACTCACGATTTTTAGGCAAATAAATTTTCACAAAGTTCACAAGAGGGTTTTGAAATATGGAGTGCATAGGTACATTTACACCTGAAAGAGGTTGCTTTGTACAATTTTTTTTTCTCTTTAATATATATCCACATATATATTTTTATATATATATATTTAAGCTGATAATGAATCTGACAAAAGTGAGGCACAAAGACAAGCTTTGAGTTCTCTCTTAGGATTTGCATGTCTTTATTTAAGTTGAATATCTCTTTAAAATGTCAGATACTTACATAGCACAAGGTTCCCTCGTAACATAAAGATCATATCCAGTACACAGATAAGGCAATGACTTGCATTTGTTGTCAGCATTTTTCAGCGAGTTGCACAGCTCACCATGATGAGTAAATCTCTCACCCACTGAACCTTTTTCCATTGAGCTGCAGTCTTTAGAATCATTCTTAGAACAAAAGCAGCAAGTTCTTTGCTGTAATTGTGATCCTTTTTCTTTCAATGTCCATGTTTCATTTACCTCTTGGCAGTCAAGTTTCCAAGCACCTGATGACTGACTGTGTGCCACTAGATCCAGGCAAACCATGACAGCATGTTGGAGTGGGTGTCCTGCACATCTTAAGTCATGACACACAGCTATGGGCTGGTTCTTCTGTGGATCAACAATCACAGCTCCAATAGGAAACTGTAAATAAAAGATTCAGAGATTTTTGTTAGCTTGTTTTTATGAGGATAACAAAAAAGAAAGTTTACACAATGACATTCTGATACTAGCCACTATTACAGGATTCCTGAGAAACTCACAAAACCTATGAGCACTAAAAGTACTTCCAGAATGACTAGATAAAAAAGGTGATGTGATCAGGAGCCAATATCTAAAATTTACAATAGTCATGTCTCTTGTTTTCCCAATACTATGATAACAAAGAAGAGGCTATCTGCAAAATCAAAGCAGCCACTCCAACACAACTTCTGGATTAACATCTCAAAGTTGTTGAATGTCTGACTAATTAATTGAACAAGGGCAAACAAGTAAGCAAGAGAGAGCTGGTTTAGAGGCATTGACTGAACAATAATTTGATTAAGTCATTAATTGAAGGAACATCCTGTGACTGGAGCTGGAAGATATCTGAACAAGGAACTGAGTTTTAGATGGGTAAATAAACAAACACTTTGATCCTCACCTGAGATACTGATGTTTTGATCCTCACCCGAGATAATGATGTATTATCTCAGGTGACTCATGTTTTCTTTTAATCTTACCTTTCTGGATGTTATATTCTGTCCTTCCACTATTGCCATTCTCATGAACTTTTCAATCAATGACACTTCATCTTTGTCAAATAATTCCCCTTTTAATGCTCTTGAAACACTAAATAACATTTTCAAAGTAAATGAAGAAGATCAACACTAAATGCAGTTTACATAGAGATATATTTTAGCAGGCCACAGCTGTGCACTGAATTATAGGATCTTATTAACAGCCTCTAAGGTGCCCAGAAATTCACTGCTTTTATATCAAACCATAAATAGAAGACAAATGCATTGGGTCTCCAAAAGGACATAGTAATTGCCCATCTAAAATCTTAATTGTTTCTCTGAACAATAAAGGACGCCTGGTCTTGATTTACCAGCAAAACAACTCTCACAGGAAATTTAACACCCTAACATTAGCATGCAAATTCTCCATACTGTTCTTTATTCATTTCCTGAGGTGATGACAAGGAGAACTTGTTTAATTAACAATCAAGAGGTTCTTCAGTTGCTGATATTTCTTTTATTCTTGTGACCTTGATATTTGATTCAGGCTGGGGTGATATTGTCAGAAGGAATAATATGCTAGTCATTTTTAGTGGTCAAAGTGTTACTTAACACATACAAAGTTTACACGCCTACGTGATCTCAAATCATATGTAACTATAAAAACCAGACAATAAACTCAGAAGTTTAATAATGTACTATTCTAAAATACAGAAAAAAAATGCCACAAAATATTCTTATATTTTTACCTGATGAATGAGGAATAGAATAGGGGTTTCTGAATATACATATGGCTAACACATCAGGCCATTCCATGATTTTAAATAACTAAATATTAATTAATAACTTACTATTTGTCTTCATGAAAATTGACAGGCCAAAGGAGAGATGCTTGGTTAAACTGCTCTCTAGTCAAAGGTGGATGTTTTGCCACATCAGCCACAAAGGGCTCCCCAAGAAAATTTGCTGCTGTCTTGTTTTGTTGTATAAGTTGAGTAAATGAATTGTCAGCTGCTACCTCATTCCTTACACATAAGATTATTTGTAGAAGTGATTCTGAAATTTGACAAAAGGTTGATTAGAAAACGTAATTTTCGTAATAAAATTTCGAAAAAAGAATTTAAAAGAATTGGTGAAATAGAAGAAATACATATTTAAAAAAAGTCATGCGAAATGAAAAAGATATCGCGTTCCCATACCGGGAGTCGAACCCGGGCCGCCTGGGTGAAAGCCAGGAATCCTAACCGCTAGACCATATGGGAGATCACATAACAATTTTGTGAAATTTATCAGTCTGATGCCTTTTGTGTATGTTAATGTAATTCATACATAGAACAATACGGCCGTTTTTCAAAAAAATGGCTCCTTCTATACTTTCTATGAACGTAGGAAACCTTTTGAATCATAAAGATCTAATTCAATTTGAAATCTTAATCTACTTATATTACAAAGTGAGTGAGAATTTCACGGCTGCCTCATTAAAGTCATAACTTACCGTCGTTGACTTTGCGGCATCGCACTCGTCTTAAATGTCCTAACTCCTTCAATGGCAATATTTCATTTAAATCTCTGAGACAAAAAATTTTGTCTATTAACGTAACAAAATCAAATAATGGAGGAAAATCGCAAGAAATCGAAAAATCCGCGCGGAAATTTAGCACTCGTATGTTTTTTTTTAAATTCATTTTTTATTTTTACCTTATCAGTTGCGATGTTTGTGTTTTGTCCGTTACATCAGCTGCGTAAACTTGCACTGAAAATTGCCAAATACATGAATTTAATCAACGAAGCAGATGAGGCAAAGAATCGAGAGCAGTTCCGCTTCATACCTGTTTGAAAATCGCGCGTGTACTCATTTGCCAGAACAGGTCGAGGAAATGTTCCTCCTTCTTTCATCTTTTCTTCAATGGATGAGGACAGAAACTGATCAGTGTAAAATTGAAGGTGATATTTTTCTGATATTTCACTTTGGAGTTCTTACCAAGTAATCCCTCACTTATATTATTCAATCTGGCTTTCTTTTCTGCAGGTTCCAGAGACAAATCCGACGCCATGATTGTTTTGAAGAGGTGTGCTTGGTTACTAAGCCAAAAGGTCAGAAAGTTGAAAATATGGCGGCTTTCTCAAAATATTTGTTGATCTCTGTGCCCGTGGTGGCCCTGGCGGGTATTGCAGCATTGTGGTGGCAACGGGAAAAGAGAGAGAGGTCTTATATAGAAGTGGGTCGTGTTTCTAGCCTGATCATTTATCCCGTGAAATCTTGCAAAGGAATTCGCGTGGATAATGCAAAGTGCTTCAAAGAAGGAATGGAATATGATAGGTAAGCCTGGCTTAGCTTGTGTCCAAAGTTACGATACAAAGAAAAAAAGCCAAAGAAACGGAACTGCGTGCACAAAAATCATCTAAATGAGCACTGAAACAGCTCACAAGGATCAGAAAGAAAGAGACATGAGCCCAGAACGAGGTTATTTAGTTTGGGTTGCGTGTGTTTTATGTCTTCGCGTGATTTTAGTTTGGGTTGCGTGATTCAGGGCACGTATTTCCAGTGTCAAATTTTCTTACGGAACATTTCAGTGGGGAAAAGGACTGTATTAATTTGATTCGAATTCAGTGGATTACTATCATGGTTGATCCTGTTTTTCGCCTATTTGTATCGCAATTTTTTCTAAATGAAATCCTTGGGCTGCGCACATTATTGGGATGTTTCAATTAATCCTTCAGTCTGGGGGATCAAAAAAATATAGAAGCACCTGTCTGGCATTTGGGACATACTACGTAAAACAGAGACTTAGCTTAAGGGGAACCGAGGCGCCCATTATCTACCTTTTTGAGCAAATACATTTTTTCCACTTATAAGTGAACAACGTAAAAATCCCTTAACTCAGGTGAAAATTCGTGACTCCAGAGAATCTGCACAAGATAAATATTCTCCAATGCTCCCAAGCTAGATACTCAATTTTGAAGTCCTTCTCATCACAAATACCAGCCTTCCTTCACCCAAGGCAGAGCATTGGGGGAAGCTATGTTATAAAAGTGCATGATAGTGGTTTATGGCTGTGACCCTCCTCCCCCACCTCTCCCCCTCGCCACCACCACCTTTTGAAAACTCCTAGTTATGCCACATTACAATGATAATATTTTTGTGAACCACTTTTTCTTGACCATTTGCTCTAGCTCTAGGCCCCTATTCTCCCAAGGCTTTGAAGATACATCCTTGCACTCTTGGAAGCAGCTTAAGTAAAGCATCAATTTACAAACTGTACTGGTTTCTTGTCACATGACTGTGACTACTACATATGATGATTTGATTTGATTATTTTTTTTATAGGCGTTGGATTCTTTTGGATGAGAATGATATTTTTATTTCTCAACGGGTAGATCCAAAGCTGGCTTTGGTTGTTCCTCATTTTGAAGGTGGAAAATATCTTTGTCTTGATGCCCCCGGAATGAAAACCTTGAAGCTTAATATAGATTTACCAGAAAATCAACAGGAGTCCAAGAGGATACGGTGAGTCATCTAGCATGCACAGTTTTTAGTTTTAGTTGAACATTCCTTTTTACATACTTAGATAATAGGATAGTCTTTGCAGTTAAGTTGTACAGTTTCATTTCTCAATTTGACTTGGAAACTGTAGTCCAAGAGAAGTGTCAGTTGTAAAATTTGAATTGAGAGTACCAAACATTCTGTATATAAGCAGAAGGAAAACAATTCTTATGAAAGAGAGTCAACAATATTTAATTTGCAAAACATGTTTCCATGACTGGAAAATGGCAAAGAAATTTCAAAAGGTGTTTGCAGACTACAAAATGCTGTCTCTTCTATACCAGTTTAGATTAGAATTTTAATGGTCATGTATACTTCATCTCCTGGATAACCTGCATGTTGCCTAGATCAAAAGCCAGTCTTCCTATCACCTTAACAATTTTCTTGAAATTTACCATGTAAATTAAGGTAAATATGGATATTTAGAGAGGGAATTAAGTTAGAAATAAAATAGATTTGAAGTTATCCCTATCAAAAAACTACATCTTTGTCCAAGGATGGCGGGACTTTGTTTGTTTTTGGACTGGATACAAAATAATTAATTTTCTTTTTTGGGGAGAGATTGGCATAGAGCAATCAAGAATTAGAATTGTGGGGGGGGGGGTTTGAGAATAGGGATGTGTTCCAATATTGACTCTATCGGCAGATTCCAGGTTCGTAAAGGTTGGCAGATCTGATAAATTTACTACCCTGTTAGAAAAGACTTAAATTTGGTGTGCTTGCAGGTTGTATCCAAGTCAATCTTTTTACTGACATTTCTGTAATTTTTCAGGGTGTATAGGGTTTATGGAGGAGGTCAGTATGTTGGAGATGAAGCTGCAGAATGGTTCTCAAGTTATTTGAAAAGACCTGGATGCAAGTTGTATAAACTCTCTCAGCCTAAGTTAATCTGTGAGGATGAAAAGTGGGGTGATGTTGCTTTGCCAGGAGACAAGGTAATTTAAACATTATGTGTAATGTTACACCCTTAGTTTAAAATCAGGTGGTCCTATAAGTCAGAAAACTCTGATTTAATCTTTACAGCCTCAAGCAGTCTATTTTCTATTAATTCTTTTAACATATCCTCCTGTTACTTTTTTTCACTGAAGACCCATGCAGTGGCAAATGCCAGTGGGGGAAGAGGGGGAGGGAGATTTTAGCCCTGGCCCAGCTACCATATTGATATTACTCTTTATTAAGAGGACATGTTACTCTGGCAAGGCTTCTTTTCATCCAAGAGTGTAAATTTGCAAATAATGGTGCCAGTAAACTTTTAGGCACACTTGGGAAATAACTGGGATGGACTGAATTACAGCTGCACTGATTATTCTGTTCATGTAAAAGGGAAATAACAAGACTTCACATCACTTCAAGATACATACATGTAAATAACAGTCAGAGTAAAGTTTATTAGAAGTAGGCTTTCATGGTCACAGGGCCAAGAAGACTTAAGATGATAATATTCTTTGGGTTTGATGTATATCTATTTTAAAATTATGCTTAAGAAGAAGTCAGTTACGGCATTGGATCACTGTGGAAAGGAAAGTAAAAACTTTTACCTCTTTCATGATTCATATCAGAAAATGAATGTTATGCAAACATGAAGGAATTTTAGAGTTGTGAGAAGTTTCAATTGTCAATGTGTTCCTCATTTTGTTTTCTCTTCCTTTTTTTCTTAACCAAGGCATCATTTGGAAATTTTTCTCCCTTCATGATTACAACTGAACAGTCACTAGTAGCTTTGAATGGAGTACTTCCATCACCAGTTACTATGGAAAGATTCCGTCCAAATGTTGTGGTTGATGGTTTGAAGGCATACGATGAGGTCTGTGTTACTTCTCATATTTCCTTTAAAAAATATTAATGCTAACACTGTAGCACCTTGAGCACTTATTAAATCTATAGAGCTTGAGATCTAGAGTGGGTACCTATTTCAGTTGGGAGCTTATTGGAGACTGGGTGCTTATAGAATTCTCACCATTTTCAACAAGTGGTAAATTATTTTGCAATGAAACAATGAGTAATAACAAAATTTTGAGATGTACAACAAACTTGTAACGTGTAACCCAGTCTCTCATGCACTTCTGTTTTTGGTTTTTTTGTTTTTGTTTTTTTTGGAGGGGGGGAGAGTTGGGGGATGGGGGATTGGGAGTTTGGCATTTACTCAAGGCTGGGCACCCATAAAATTTCACTACTGAGAGGTTGGGTGCTTATTCAATGTTGGCACTTACCCAAGGTTGGGCTCTTATTTAAATAATTACACTGTTTTGTTTAAAAGGTGATCCATGTTCTATTTTTCTCCCCACAGGATAATTGGACAAAAAAGATAATTAAAATAGGGGATGTAGAATTCAGATTTCTGAAGAACTGTGGAAGGTGAGTGAGTGATGTCTCCAAGAAGAGGTCCTGGTCCATTGACATCCAGATTTTACAGTTTGAGAATTTCCAGTCTTTTAATCAATGGCATACTTTGAAAGCCTACAGATTTGATTAAAATTTTTAAAAAGCAAAAAAAATTTTTTTTTTCCTAGATGTTCATTGACAACTGTAAACCCTGCAACAGGAGAAAAAGAAGGAAATGAACCCTTGGCTACTCTGCAAAGGTAATTTCTTACTTGTTAATAAAGGTACGTAAATTTATTTGTCCTCTACTTTCAATTGTTGACTGCTATAAAACAGTTACCCATGGCCAGAGTGTCAGTAAAATTTCTTTTGCTGAGAGAAAATTTTTTTATTGTATTTAGAAGAAAGTTTCTTGCAGATGCATCAGAAAAAAAGCTCAGTGATTTCATCTTAGGAAAATTGGTTTTCTATTTTAGTTTTACCAATTGGCTTCTTTTTCAAAAGCCATTGGCCACAGGTTGATATAGCATAACTATGAAAAGTAGATGGCAGTTCTGGGTACAACTTGATAAAGGGGGTAAGTTTCTAAAGAAACTGTGGAAGATTATAACAAGGTATTTTGTTATTATGAACCAAATTGATAACTTAAATTGGCCACTTTAAAAGTATCAAAGCTAATGTCTTGAGCATTAGCCCTCCATCAGAGCAAAGGATGGAGGAGGAAGGGCTAATGCTCAAAATATGGCCAATTTACATTTACCCAGTTGATAATATCAAATTACTTTGATACAAGTTAAATAACAAATTACAAGGGGATCATGGCAAGTAACTGCAATTAATCAATGTATCTTTTCACAGGATAAGGCTCCCTGAGGACAGAGATCCTAGGCAGGGAAGAGCTCCTCTTTTTGGAGTGCAGTTTGCCCTTGATGGAGATAGGATAGGGGTTGTAAGGATTGGAGATATAGTGATGGTCTCTGCATGACTGGAAAATTAAGTAGTGTTGGCAGCTCAGCATGCCTTGAACTAATTAAAAAAGTAGTTTGTGGTAATATAATGCTGGACCATATATTTCATGCATACTATTTTTTTTAGTGGATTCTTCCTCAGGGAACACTGAGAGCTGATTAGAAAGTTGCCTAATTCTCCATGTGTAGCTATGTAGGTCAGCTGATAGTAGAACCCCACTATAATTATGATTTTCAGTTGGGTGAGGTGGGGTAATAATCTGCTGACAGGGTTTTGACCTTAAAATAATTATATTGTCATGGGGAAGTTTTTATTGTTTTTATTTATTGTTCATCAAACTTGAAATCTTGCCAAAAGAGATAAAAAAACATGTTACCACTAGAAACAGAGCCAGTTACGTGAGTTTGCTCACATCAAAACATACTGGTTGCCAAAATTTCACTGCACCTCACTCAACTAAGATTATCATAGGGTAATTTTAATTAGTAATATCAACTTAGTTACAAATGTAAATTGGCTACTGCAAAGAGTTTAAAAGCTGACATTTTGAGCGTTAGCCCTCACTCTCTACTAGCCAATTAACTTGAGAGCTCTGTGAAGAAATAATTTATACTGTAATTTACTTTATCATTGGTACGGGTTGGGAGTATCAACTGACAGCAGATTCAGAGAAAACATTGACCTTAGGATGATTGTCTCTGTTGAAGGAAAAAGACAGCTGAAATTTCTGCAACTTCTAAAAACACACGTGGTATTAAATCCTCAATCATAACCATTACAATTTTCTCAAATGTGATTGGTGCATTAGCTGACTTATTTTTTTAATAAATTTTTTTTTGGGGGGGGGGAGGGAAGGGATTTTAAAGGTTAAGATTAATTGGTAACAGTACTTTGTGCCATCCAATTCTGTCTGTAATCATATTGGAAATTATCAAATTATACTCTCTCCCTGTGGTCATCTATTTTGTTAAACATTTTTATGATTACTGTCTGAATTGGAGTCCACTCAGTCCTACAAAAGGACTGAGTAGAGTTTACCATTATTAATTTTACTAGGTCCCATGCAGTTTCCTATACATACATACTGATAGTGTATGCAAAACACTTTTAAAAATCAATTCAATTATAATCACAGATTTATTTGATTTACAAATTAAATAATTTTATGGCTAGTCTAAGAGTTTTTGGATCAATTACACGATAATGTAGATTATTATACGTGGAAAGTTTCAATTAGTAGTAAATAATATATCATTAATAATAATAATAAAGCTGTTTTTCAGCAATATGTATTCAAATGGCCATTTTTGGTCTTTTTCCTCTTATAATTAGCCCTTGTTATTGGGAAAATAGTTGGTCCTTTTACATCAAACAGTGGTTTGTGACAGGAATACCAGTTTTGTTACTCATGCACACTCATCTCCCCTCATTTTTCACCTTCACCCTCCACCTTTCAACACCCACCATCACCTGTAATTAGTCTCCTCTGACGCATTTCACTTCACACACACCCTCCCTCCATCCCCCTGGCTCAATTTCTGCCGTTATATCGGATTCAATCTTCGAACCTCTCTCGTTAGTTCGAGGGAGATCAACTCTGCTGACCTCGCCCGTTGCAGTGCTTTTTGGGTCTGGGGTAGGGTATGTGTTCGGTTACCAAGTCAGTCGAAGGATTCTAGAGATGGTGGCGCAGATTTCGTACTCAAAATATCTGCTGATCGCCTTACCCGCTGTCGCTTTGGTGGGTTTTGCTGCGCTATGGTGGCAGAGAAAGGATAAAAAACGGTCCTATCATGAAGTAGGGCGGGTTTCTAGCCTGATCATTTATCCCGTGAAATCTTGCAAAGGAATCCCTGTGGATGATGTTAAGTGTTACAAAATAGGAATGGAATATGACAGGTTAGACAGGAGAGATTTCACCATGAACCAGTGAAAAAAAATGCTTTGACATTGCAGTGAAAAGGCTCCTTTTAGTCAGTAAGATCGTGAGAATAAAGGAAATAACAGCCATACATCAAAGATGCTAATGGAACAACTTGCCAATATCATTGGAAATGTATAGAGAACAATGCGGAGACTATATATTCATTCAGATTTTAGAGTATAAGACTTTTAAACTTTGTTAATTAATGAATCACATTGCTCTTCCCATGACTTTGCCTTATAAAGATAGCATTCATGATCATTTGTTGCAAAGAAGATTTAGGCGGGTGAAGGCATTACCGTACCACGTGAGGGAGGGTTTAACTGTAGATCAAAGAAAAGTTAGATCTGAGGTATTACTTGAGTTTACAAATGAATTTTTTCTTTTTCAACAGGCGTTGGATTCTAGTGGATGCTAATGATACCTTTGTGTCCCAGCGTAAAGATCCAAAGCTAGCGCTGATTGTTCCTCGGTTTGAGGATGGAAAATATCTTTGTCTTGATGCTCCAGGAATGGAAACTTTGAAACTGGACATAGGATTACATGTAGCTGCAGATGAACAAGAATACAAGAGGATAAAGTAAAACATGTTCATTGTGTACAGGTTATCGTTAGCAAATGTTATAGGTATATGATCTATACAAGCAAGGTGTGTTGCTTTGGGGCATGTCCTTCTAGGGTTGCCCTGGGACAAGCTCTCTCTCTTCCCAGAAAAATTTGAAACTTCAAACTCTCTGATACATGATTTTCAGCATACTATGACCGATTTTAGTGCTTTATTTTACTTCTTTTCTGTCACTGATCACAATTTTCAAAGTATAGCATAAAATAGTCTGACAGACGACAGTTTTTCACTGCCTACACATTTCTAATTACAACCTGTATTTCAGCTCATGCAATTATGCAATTTATTTAAGGAAAGAATTTCTGTGCACTGTACACAAACCTGGTGGTCTATTCTTGGTTTTCTTTAGGTTTCAAGTTTTATTTAATATGTATTTTTTTTTTATTATGGTGAGCAGTGAAAATTTAGCAGGTTTCAAGTTTGTGGGATTTTGTAGATTATCCTCTATATGCAAAATATGGTAAAAAAGTGAGTTAAATGTTATTTCAATTTCTTTTTATTTATATTTGCATTTAACTCTGATTTGTTTTTTGTTTTTGTTTTAACTAATCCAGGGTTTGGAGGGTTTATGGAGAAGGTCTCTATTGTGGAGATAAAGCAGCAGAGTGGGTATCTACTTTTTTAAATAAACCTGGATATAAGATGTATAAACTTTCCAAACCAAGAGTGATATGTGAAGATGACAAGTGGGGTGATGTTGCTCTTCCAGGTGACAAGGTAAATATAACATAACAAAAGGGATCAGATGTGTATAGAACAGTCTTATTGGCCACTTGTGGAAGATGCAGTAGCCTACAAGTAACAACACCCTCCCCCCCACAAAGGTAAAATGGAGGCAAGGGAGCCCCTGTGCCACTTTTGGGGAGGGTGTGGCTACACCTAGGCTAAAGATGCAGTGTTCTACTTGTCAGTGCACTGAATTCTGAGTCAAGAGGTCTGGGTCCAAGACCTGGTTAGGTGAATGTGTGATGTTCTTGGGCAAAACTCTCTCTCTCTCCACCCAGGAGTATAAATGGGTCCTGGCAAATTATCAGGGAAGTCTGATGAAATGTAAGGGCTAACCTTGCGATGGATTTGCACCCCATCCAGAGGGGAGGGCCAATGGGCTTGTGTACAGACTTTCCTTTTACCTTTTGCTGGCCATGTTGGACCACATAATGGATGCTCTCAAAGTCCAGAGCCATCTGACATTTTTGATTAAGGAAGAAAAATGGCGAGGCTCTTAGAGTAAGACTCACCTCATTTATTTTTCTTCTTTACATCTTATATATCTTGTTTGTTGTTCAATCCAGGCAGCATTTGGAGATTTTGCTCCATACTTGATTGCAACTGAGGCCTCATTAGAAGCTGTGAATACTGAACTTTCATCTCCTGTGACAATGGAAAGATTCCGTCCCAATGTTGTGGTTGAGGGTATGAAGGCATTTGATGAGGTCAGTATGTCAATCCATTCTGTGATATCGCATAAAAATTGATTAGACTTTCATTGTGGTCACACTTTTTCCCTTTTTTACAGGACAAGTGGGCAGCTAAGATAATAAAAGTTGGAGATGTTGAATTTAGATTCCTAAAACGATGTGGAAGGTTAGTCAGTCATAAAATACATTGAAAAATAGCATCAAAAGTGTCAGTGGCTATCTTGAAAGTTAGTTTTGGTCAGAGTAGGGTTTTAATAAAAGTTGATTATCAGTAGTCTATACTGCTGCCTGTAAGACTTGTGAGGAGGATCTTGGGTTTGGGTTTTGCTTTACAGCCCTTTTCCAGGCACAGCTGCCTAGTGTGCCATTGGCAGCAGCATATGGAAAAGGTGTTTGAAACCCATGTCAAGGGTGGAAAACACAAGAATTGGGAGAGAAACTTTAATCCAGCTAAAAATGATGTGAAAAAGCAAGAAACGCAGGCTACATGTGAAGCTAGAACTGGAATTTTATTCTGGGTCCATCACAGTTTATCAGTCCATACCTTTTTTATCTCTATGAAATCTCCCTTTTTACCAGTTATGCCCCTGGGCCATGAATATTACAAAGAGGAACCTCTTACAAGCTCACTTAAACATTCAAGAATCTACATGCACTTTCTGGCTTATATTGTATAAACTAGCATTTTATTTAACAGTTGCTTTGTAATGTTGGTTGCATAAAACTCAATTGCAGTTTGTGTGAATGTTGGCTAAAAATTTTGCATAGATTATATGTCATCTTTCAATATAAAGTTAGCCAGTATTTCTGATTTCCAGTTTCTGAATTGTTTACAAAGGTGTCAGTTAACAACAGTGAATCCTGACACAGGTGAAAAAGAAGGAGATGAACCTTTGGCAACTTTAAGAAGGTAATTGTTTCTCTATCCCATCACCAACAATTTTTTGACACAGGTTAACAAAGATTTGAGTCAGCAGAATTTCAAATTGACAGTTTACCTTGCAAGGGTTTAGCCCTTATTCCACAATACAGAAATGAATGCATACCATACTCCACTGGCGGTTCATGTCAGCACTGAAATCCAACTGAGGATAAAAATGATTTTCATATTAAATTGATTGACCAAATTGCAAAATTTCACTTTGTAGTGTCATTTGGACTGTGCTCTTTTCAACAATATGGCTTTTAACCACAATCTGGCAGGAACTGATCAAAAGGCATTAGAGAATTGGATACTTTCCAGCTACTTATTGAGAATTTTCTGGCTAATTTTTAAGATTGGAGAGCTTTTTTGTTAATTTTGAGACATGGAGAAAAATTAGTATGCTGCTATATTTATCAAACTTATTTTCTCTCCTAAGAGTAAACAAGACATAACTTCTCCCTCCACATTTAATACATTATCAAAGGAACAATGTCAGCACAACATCTGCACACCTACCCCTCCCCTTACCCAGCATTAACCTTAACTTAGGCCAGGGGATAGGCTAGTGGGGAGTTGTTCAGATACAGGCATTGATCCATATCATACAGGCATTGATCCATATCATACAGGCATTGATCCATATCATTCACATAATTGATAAGAAGACAGTAGGTATCGACTAGGGGACTATTTTTTATCCAACACCAAATTCTCAGTGCTGAAATTATAAGGAATTGTGGCAGATGGTAATGAGAATTACTATGAATTGAAAACAGACTGAGATCTTGGTATTGGAAGGTTTAATTATTTCATGTAATGTGCAATTTTAAGATGAAATCATTGCTTTGGATTGGTTGCTTTCTAGTTGACCCCTTGTCGATGAGTTGATGCCTAAGAATACATTTAATTCTGCTAACAAATGCAACTTTTAATTTATTTTCAGAATAAGGCTTCCGGAAGACAGAGACCCAAGACAAGGAAATGCCCCTCTTTTTGGAGTTCTTGTTGCCCCTCATGGCAATACAGTGGGAGTTATAAAGATTGGAGATGCTGTCATGGTTTCAAAATAACTGCAATTATAATAACAATAAATATTTAATTGTGTTGCTTAATATTTAATTTTGCAAGTGTAGATAAAGCGTTGCTCTGAATAGAAGCATTATAGTGTAGCAGATTTGGGGTATTACAATGTCCCTTTTTATTTTTTTATTTATTTATTTATTTTTTTTTTTTTTACAGTAAGCCAAAATTATTTTACAGCTTTTTACCTGATAATATCCTTCAGTAGGAATGCAAATTTGGGCTGAAAGGTTTATCATTAACATATTGTATTTACATTTTGTTCCAATCAGACTGTTTTCGCTCAGACAATAACTCACCTATTATTTAGAACTGTTTTTTTGTTTTGTTTTGTTTGTTTCATATTCTCAGATTTCATGGGCATGTCACTGAATGAACACCACCTCTGCACTCACTATTTTTCCCTTTGAGGAAGTGGAAACAAAATCTTAATTTAATAGATTGATTTATTCACTGATTTTTGTTACAGGGGAGGGAATAGTGTATTTGCTATAAGAGGTTCTTATTTAATATTTAAGCCATGGTTGAAGTGGGTCTACTAATTAAAATGAAGGGTTCAGTTCTTATTTAAATCTGATGGTTTAATTATGCAAACATGTTAAATGTGAAGTATCTTAATGGTTTTTGGGTTTGTAATAACTTGGGGATAAGAGAAACAAGGGCAGGTAGCTTAATTGTATTGTGGGATAGTCCAGCTTCTCATGAAAACATGGAGTGAGGTTGGTTATACTTCCTCATGCAGAAAGTAAAGTTATGGGGACTACTAATAAATAAACATTGTATTTGCCAATATTGTTTGTTTTGCGTTGACAGGTATAAACTTACTGAGGTCTTGGTAAAGATGTCCAAAATTGAAACTGCCACAAAATGAATTAATTCTTTGACAAACTGGACCTTCTGCTTCCTTCTTTCAAACTAAATGTTTCGTTGCCTGTATTTTGACTGCAAAAGCCCTGCAGGCTTGTTAAAATACAGCACAACTCTTAAAAATACTCAGCAGTACTACACACCAAACTGTCTAATAAGATAAATTTACTGTATTCACAGCTTAGGGTCCAAGGGTCTGTATTGCTCTGCTACAAAAATTACCACCAGACAAGAAAGAACAGTTTTCAACTGATTTTAATGTGTGTTATGGAGAGGTAGACAACTACATGATTTTGCACACCCAGAGGAAGTTACAATATAATCAATACAACCTTAGACTTGAGTTGCTGTCTTTACTTTTTAAAAGCTATGCATTTTTTGCAGCTCTTTCTGCAATCAAACTTGTTATAGAACATAAGGATGATAAGGAATGTTTCCTTCCCTGATGGCTCAAGACCAAATCATGACAGCGTCTCCCTGGCGTATGACCCCCATGCCATCTGTGTCTGGAGCAGCATTGATCCCAAACAGAGGGGATCTGTCATATCGTGGATCTCTATCCTCAGGAAGCCTTATTCTGGAATAAGTTGAAAAAACAAATTAAATATGCCATAAGGTTTAGTTGATTTTGATATTCCATGTAGTGATCACCACATGTCAAAAGAAAGGGTGAAAACTGTTGGGAATTGTCACCCACATATATGTTCTACCAATCACCTTTCTTTCTTAAGAAAATTTAGAAGAGGAAAACAAAACATTGAATTGAGTACCATGCTTTTTTTAAGAGCATAGCTGGATTTTGAATTTCAATTGTACCTTCGCAAAGTTTTCAAAGGCTCTTCTCCTTTTTTCTCTCCTGTTTTTGGATTAACAATTGGCAGACTGCACCTTTTAAAGAAAGATAGTTGTGATCAATCAATATTGTAATGTCAATAATTTCTAGTTTTGTAGCAAATACAAGTTCAGTGTTTAGGAAATCATCACCTATTGAGCATTAGCTTTGAATATAAAAAATATGGCTCGTACAACATATTGAAAAGCTTACCTTGCACAGTTGTTTAGGTATCGAAACACCACATCCCCTATTTTGATTTTTCTTCCACCCTCCCATTTGTCCTGAAGAGGAATTAAAATTTTATTTTAGGTTTAACTAAAGACGGCAAAAATTTAATAACAGCTTACTAACAAGACATTTCATTTAAATGTCTGTAAACAGTTACGAGCCATGTCAATTGAAATTTTTCTATGAGGTGTCACATTGTAGGTCAAAATAATCATAACAAATGAAAGCATACCCTGAGCTGCATTTTTAAGAATCAGGACATTGAAATTCAAAAATTGATGTAAATGTTCATGAAGATTTTATGACCACAGCTATAAAGAGGTAAGGTGAAAATTAGTTTGTAGAAAAACTGACCTCCTCAAATGCATTTAAGCCATTGATCACAATGTTAGGCCTGAATCGTTCCATTTCCAAAGGTAATGAAAGTTCTTGATTCAGTGAAGCCAAGCAAGCTTCAGCAAGAATCATGTATGGAGCAAAATCCCCAAATGTTGCCTGTTAATTTAAGACAAAAAGTAAACTGATCTGTCAGCAATTTAATGTCAAAATATACATAACACATGCCATACTTAATTCTTGCCTCCCTGAACACTTAAATTATCATCAAAACTTCAAGATCTGTTTTTTTCTTGAAAAAAGCACCCATGCTCTAATAAGGGCCCTCCCTCGAATAAGCATCCTCCCTCAGCCATAATGTCAAACAAGCACCATGTAGCCCCTCCCTTACACCTCCCTCAATTTCTTAATAGTAGGGATACAAGGAAAACCTGTGTCTGTCACCACACCATTTATAAACTTTTAGGCTTAATCTACAGTGGAATCAGCACAGGGGAATAACCACAGGTTGCCCAGAGAAGAGAAGCTTCTCCTATGTACATAGTAAACCTTGAAATGGATAACATGCTAAAACGGGTTCTTTCCAACATGGTAAGCAGTCAGATAACAAGCAATGCACTGTGGAGGTCAGATGAGGTAATTTTATTAAGAATTTGGCTGTGTTTTTTTGTTCCTAAAAGCAGTCATAAATATTCCATACAAACTCTTATAACTTTGCGATGACTCTTGTTTTGCATGATCATCTGACCACTGGAGCCTGAGCTGCCTGTGGTATAACAAATGCCCCATTGATTAAGTACCCTCCTTCTGATGAGCACTTTTTAAATAAGTGCCTGGCGATGATTTGGAGAAATTTGGAAGTATTTTATAATCTCTTTAATAAGTCTTAAAAACTTTCCACATCAACTGAAAAGTAACTGAACAATAGTAAGTTTGATTAATTAGATTCCAAAGAGATGGCATTAACTACTATCAGTAAAAGAAAAAAGAAACTCTGTTTCATTACCTGGTCTCCAGCCTCTCCAATGTCACTCCATTCATCATGTGTCCTTATCACTCGAGTCCTGGACAACTTGTACATCTTATAACCAGGTTTATTCATGTATTTAGAAAACCACTCTGAGGCTTCATCTCCTACATACTGGCCCTCTCCTTCCATTCCAAATATTCTGTGTGGTTTGTGAAAATAATTATTTACTATAATACGTTATTTTAAGGTGTTGGAAGAATGATGAGTAGATTAGGTATGTACATAACCAATTTTAAATTAAGAATTATTACAAATATTTTAAATGCACTCACTTTATTCGTTTGAATTCCCTTTGATCCACTGGTAGCTGTATTTCCAGTTTCAACATTTCCATTCCAGGAGCATTCAGGCAAAGATATCTGCCATCCTCAAAATGAGGAACAACAAGCGCTAATTTTGGATCTTTTCGCTGTGTAATGAAGTTCCCTTTTGCATCCAGAACGATCCAATGTCTTTGAAAATTTAGAACGTAGATAATTAAATAATAGAACTCTGATTCAGAGCTCTCGGCTCTTCTCTACCCTTCTCTCCCCCCCCCCCCCCCCCGCTTCTATCCCCCTCCCTTCCTTCCCATGCTCCCCAACTACGCCAGTACGTAAACTTACAGCATGTCAATCAAATTACAAACTGGGCGTCTCTAGTTCAAACATTCATCATATGGGTGACTCAAGAATGCCGAGGTGTCACGCAAATGCAATCTTTGCTTGACACGTTCCGATGTTGACCATACCGGTCGATATTAGACACCGATACATAGCTTTCTAAAATACCGCTTTCTTTTTTTTGTTGTTGTTTTGTTTTTGTCTTTGCTTGTTTGCTTGTTTGTTTTCTCGGAGAAAACGGATCAACTGATGGAGAAAGTTGCGTAATAACCGACCCTGTTGTGACATCATTTCAAAACAAACCAAGCGTTGAATTGGCACAATGCCAGTATTATAATCATTTTATTTTATTGATTTAGGTAACTAGGAAATTGAATGCGTACCATGTTAAAATAAATTAACAAGTGAAACGTTGTACTCTAAGCATGCAGCACCGGCAGCATTTGAGATCGAAGAGACGAAGTTGTTTTCATGAAACGAAATAATACCTTTCACGTCCCAAACGTCAGTGTAATTTGATCTCTCATTTTATTGGTTTATTTAATCCTTGCACACGAATTCCGAAGAGATTTAAGTCTTAAAATATTCTTTTTCCAATGCTTTCATATACCACGTTTTCGATGCTTCCATTGCCATCTCCTATATTTGCTTCTATCTACCGTGTATCGATTACTGTATGCACGATCTCCTAATGTTATTTGATTGCAGGTTGTTGGTCACGCGATTCGAACAATCAATCTCTGGTGGACATATCGTCCGCCACGCACGTTTTAAAAGAACTAGTCGAGCCCTAGCAAACCGAGGAAGTTCTAATCTATCCATACGATGACTTTTTTTTTTTTTTTTTTTTTTTTAGTTAGAGTAATCCCAGGCCAGTAGTTTTGTTTTGCGTGCAAAGTGCACGGTTGATCGAACAATTAGAACCAAGAACTACCTGAATTTGACGGCGCGTCGAATCAAATCAGTCGCACCTCGTAGATATTTCCAGAAAACGAATATAAAGAGGTACAAGGCTTTGAGATAAACTTTCTGAGGTAAAGAAGAAATCAAGAACTTAAATTTCACCTGTCATACTCCATTCCTTCTTTGAAACATTTGACGCTGTCCATACGGATACCCTTGCAAGATTTCACCGGGTAGACGAACAGACCAGTAACACTCCCCACTTCCTTGAAGGAGCGCCTTTTCACATGCTGTTTCCACCAAAGTGCAGCGATGCCTGCTAAAGTTACAACAGGCAAACCAATCAACAGATATTTGGATTGTGGAACCATCTTGTATTGACCTCGAATTCAGACGCAAGCTCAGGATAAAAGCATCGGCTGGTGGGGTGGTGAATCGGAGGGCATGGGCGAGATTGGATTTAATTTGTCTCGAGGTGGGTAGGAGGGGTGGGGAGAGGGTAAGTGGTAAATGGGCTGGCCTTGGTTTTGAGATTTCCCCTCAGAATTTTTTTGATTTAGAAGTGTTGACCAGTTACCGAGGTTTCCGCATGTTTATTGACTTGAAGCAATTCAGTACGAAGAAGGAAAAAGTAAAATCACAACTATTTATCTATTCAATTTTCCTATTTACTCTTGTACGGGCTAGGCGATTGATTGTGTGAAGACATGTGCTGGAAGATCTAAAGAAACACTGTTCTTGACAGCTTAAAATAAATCCTAAAGTATCTTATCTGTTTGTCTTTTATTTGGCCGAGAGGCAAAAGGAGAGAAGAGGCTGTTAACATTGATGTATGTCAGGTCTCGAGAATGCATGAAGCTCTGTCCAGGCTGCGTTTTGTTATGTTTACCCAGAACAAGAGAAAATAGTTAATTGATAATTATTAGTCACTTTCCCTTGTCCAGAACGAGAGCGTCACGCAACTGTACCATATCGCCCGGACGTGACATAAACGTTACGCAATATTCACGCAAATAGACAACGTTACAATATGGGCTCATTTCATTCACGATTGTGGAAGATTGCTCTTCCCGTTTCACTGCCTTTACTTACATTTGCGTATCTTCGTTGGAGGCAAATGCAAGTGAAAAAGATCGAACTATTTAGGCAAGTAGGTTATGTGTCCGGGCTATTTATCTATCCCGTCAAATCATGCGCAGGAATTGAGCTGGAAAATGCCGTGTGTTTTACAGAAGGCATACAATTTGACAGGTATGTTGAATTCATTTGATCATTCTCAGTGCACCGTGTTTATTTATGTTTGTTTTTGTGATATTGACTCTTACAAGTTGTTTTTCCATAACCACTTATTCCTTAATAAAGCGACTGATGACAATCGAAAACAATATTCCTCTAGTGAACATAGCCCACGCGCAAACAAGTTACACAAAAGATCCTTGATTTTAAAAAAATCATAACAAGAAGAAAACAAATGAAAGTAAATGGAAATCCACGAGATCCGAAAACCACATAACCCTGCGGCATTGGCCTTCAGTGATCTCCAATCTCAATCGATTAATTGCTTAGACTATCGTTTGTTGTCATTGATTGTTACTGGTTACCATTGAAAACACAAAACAATCTGTAGTTAAATGGCAACTTTTGGCTCTCTCTCATAGGAATTGGGTGGTAGTTGACAGAAATGATAAGTACCTTACTTCGGTGGACAAACCAGTGTTGGCTCAAGTGGTTCCACACTTTGAAGATGGCAAACTTTGTCTCAATGCCCCTAGTATGGACACTCTGAGAATTCCTATTCAGCTGGACACCAAGGAGTTTAAAGACCTCAAGTATTAAACTTTACCTTTATTGTACAATATTCTTGCAGAAGTTCACATTTCTTGGATTTGATAATGCACTCAAAATCGGCAATCTCTCTTAGATTCCTGAAGACCCTTGCATAATTAGTTCAGGATCAATATCAACCTTGTACAAGCAATTGGCTCATTCATGGATGATGGTGATGATGATGATGATGATGATGATGATGATGACAAACGTCACAATTATCATTAGCATTATTATATTATCAGCATTAAAATATGATCCTGAATGCATTATTCATGGCTAACTTTAGGGTACTGAGAATCTCATCCAAGAGTTGCTATGTTGGAGATGAAGCTTCTTTATGGTTTTCAACTTTGCTGAACAAACCAGGCTGCAAAATGTATCAAATTCATGAACCCCGAGATTCCACAAAAGATACAAAATGGGGCAATCTAGCATCGCCGGGAGACAAGGTAGGTTCAGAATAATTGTCCATTTTTGTTCTGGTTTGTCAAACTGTGAAATTCAGGTACCAACTTGATTTTTAGATACTTCAGTTGAAAGGGTATGTGGCAAACAAGCTACCTGAGAGATCTCAGGTAGATTGTTATATTATCGGTTCAAATGGTCTATTCCTTGTGAAAAACAGGAGATGGTCTCAACAAGGTGATAGCTTTCATGGCTTATGGTTAAAATTTTGACCATTAACTTTCTCCCTTTTAAAAGAAAACAGAATTGTGGTATAATTTTTTTTCAACTGTTGGTTAAAATTTTTCAATTTTTACACCTAGCAGCTGAATTTTTGAGATAATAGTAACAGTGTATTTAAGGAGAGGGAGGTGGAAAAGAGTTTTGAGGTAAGGGGTAAGAGGGGGAGAGGAGGGGAAGGGTTATTACATGCAGCCTTTTGAATGTGAACTTTATAAAATTTAATTGAACAGGTTCTTTGGGTAAAACCCTTGCAAACTTTTGATAAACTGATAGCTTTTACTTCTTATTTTCCCCTAAGTTTATAGCTTTTCAATCAATAGAGGCATTTTAGTCACTGAGAACCTCACCCTTCAATCTTGCTAAATCTAATTATCTCCAATAATACTAGAGCTCAGTAAACTTTTCTATTGGCTTTTTTATCAACTTTTCTATCAGCTTATTTGCGTTTTAGTCTATGCCATGAGTTTTCAGCACTGACAATAATTTTTTCACCTAAAATCATTTACTGGTAATTATGACTAGATTATATCAAATTGACTAAATTGTGTCTTATTTTAGCTATACAATAGGCATTCAGCACAGCATTTTTTTCACCCAAGACCATTAATCTTTAATTGTAATTAAATTATACCAAATTAATGTTGTAGAATTTAGAGTTCAATATCAGTATCTGAGCAAGTTCCGCACATCTACCCCTCTCCTAGCCTAACAATAAAGCCAATTTGTTTTCAGTTGTCTGTTGTTGGATCAGGGGAGGGGTAGGTGTGTAGTCTCTGATACCGATATATTGATCATAATTCAGTTTCACTCTCTCTTTAAATGTTCTTATTGGGTAGGTGGGTTATGCAAGTTTTGCAGCATATCATATGACTACAGAGTCATCACTAGTGGAACTGAATGGGATTTTGAAATCCCCCATTGGGATGGATAGATTCCGTGCTAATGTTATCATTGGGGGCACTGAGCCTTTTGCCGAGGTTTGTTACTTTAATGAATTTAAATTTCCTGTCTCAGATTTTTTCCTTTGTAACTATATTACAACAAAGTCAAGTCTTTACAGTGAACATCAGTATGCACATTCTCCTTACTGTTCTCTATACATTACATAAGATTTGAACAAGGAGAATTTGTTTAACAATCAAGAGCTTCTGTAGGTGGTCATCATTCCTTTATTCTCATAACCTTAATGTCTGATACAGTGGTGATAATTTGTAAGGAGAAATTAGATTCTTGTCACTCTTAGGAGTTAAAGGGTTAACCCGTTACACCCTAACATCAGTAAGCATATTCTCTATAATAATGTTTACCATAAGTTTTCTAAGGAGCTGTCTTGGTGAATTTGTTGAATGATCAAAAGCTTCTTTAGTTAGTGGTCAATTCCTTTATTTTTGTGAAATTATTGTTTGACTCAAGGGTGATACACCCTGGAGAAATTGGTTACCAATCACTCTTTGGGTTAAAAGAGTTAACCTGTTGGCTGTCTTCTTGGGACATTATACTATTTTTTATCTTAGGAGCTCTGTATAGGATAAAAATTGCATTTCTATAGTTTTGTAGAACTGCAGTGTAATGTTCAGTGCAAAACTTGTATGTTTTGGGATTGTACAGGACTCAGGGTAAGTGCATCCATGTTAGCTAACTGTAAATTATTTACTCATTTTAAGGATCATTGGCACCAAAAATATCTCAAGATAGCAGATATTAGGTTTAGAACTCTCAAGGACTGTGGAAGGTAAATATTTGTTCAAGTTTTCAAGAAGTAGATGAGGTTGCATGAGCTTTGTTGCCTTGGGTAAGATGCCTATGACTTGGGCTCGAACTCAGAATCACTAAGCAGATATGGAGTTTGATGTTTAAAATGGAACAGTATGCCAGCATTTTCCTGGAGGCCATCACTAGTCTCACTTATTATAAACCAAATTTTGTCAAATAAACACCTGGGTGCAAAATTTCAGCTCATAAGGAGGGGTGCTTATTCTGAAGAAGGGCCACTTAATGGAGGGGGGGGGGGCTTGTTGAGAAAGTATTAGCCTGTACTGATCCTGCTGTATTTGAAGCTTAAAATGTTAACTTAAATTGGCAATAGAAACAGGTCTCCTCTGCATCCCCACTGTTTAAGAAAGGTACTTGTACTTGGTACTCAATGGCTAAGGGGGGTTGGCACTTAAAAAGAGCAACGGAGGAGAACCATATTCTGTATGTTCAATGAGTTATTCAACATTGTTTTCCAAAGATGTACCCAGATCACCATAGATCCTGAAACTGGGATAAAGAATGGACTTGAACCACTCTCAACTTTGAGAAGGTGAACCAAAAAATTATTTTCCTTTTACTCAATATCATTATTGTGAAACTTGTTACTTCGTTGCACTTGACCAAGGGCATGGCACAATTCCTGGAAGTGTTAAACATTCCTTGTGGAATTCAAGAGTTTTCAACTTTATGTTGATGTGTCAGCTGTGATCAATAGGGTTAAAATGTAATTATTTTTTCCTCTACCAATGTTTGCAAACAAGGACCATATTCCTTTGTCATTGTGGAATCAGAGAAAAATTGTGACCAACAACTCTTAAGTAACCCAGTGAAAGAAATTTAATCCAAATGAGAAACTAATTTGATAATAAGTCAACCTGAATCAATGTCACTATATGAGCGATTAGGCACCTACCCCTCCCCTAACCCAACATCAACCCTAACTTGTTATCAGTTAACTGGTGTTGGGTTAGGGGAGGGGTGAAAAATCCAGTTTTAATTCATTTTTCTATTGCTCTGGGTATAAAGATCATACTGAGGAGAAATGATCAAGGAAGCATCTTATTTCTCTCTAGGACAAGATTGCCTCAAGACAGAGACCCAAGACATGGTAACGCTCCTTTCTTTGGGATTCAGATGGCTCCAGACTGTGAAGGAAATATCAAGCTTGGAGACCCTGTGTTTATCTCCTGTTGATCAATCTTTAGAGGGGAAATAGATTAGAGGGGAGAGGGGGTTTTGTTTATCAAATGTGAAATGACTGGGGGGGTGGGGGAGCAGTGAGTGTCAGATGTGAAATATGCCACATGAAGCTGCAAATGGGAAAGCCCAATCAGGGCAGTACTTCAACCAATATTGTTTTGAATTCTTTTCTAATCAACAGAAAAACAGTATTACTTTACATGCACATTCAATGTGCGAGCTGGGAAAACTGGGTCATGTTAACTCTGCCACCCCAGTAACCTTCCCAAAAATTATCAAAAACAGAATTCAGAGTTATTCTCTCCTGTCAAGTCCATCTCTTTCCTTTTTGTTCTTACATTTTTTTCTTAAATTTTTTATTTATTCAATGACTATTATGTAAGATTAATGTCAAATCATATGACAATGGATCATTTTGATCAAATTGTTTTTAGCGAGAGACAATTAAGTTCTGCTGTTTCATGAAGACTCTGTGAAAATCAAAGTGGAACAAGTAAAATCCTATATTTTTATTTTTTAAGTCAACGAAAATTTGTATTTAACAGGGTACTCCCTAGTATTTAATCAATAGCACTTTACTGATCTGGAGCATATCTGAGTACAATGAACTTTGTTAAAAGGTATGAGATTGTATCAATAAATGTATCATATCTGATCACTATTATTAATACCCTTTTTCTTATTTAACCCCTTACTCCTAGAAGTGATAACATGTAACTTCTCCCTAAAAAAATCCAAACATTACCCAGCAAACAGGTAATGAGAATACTCAAACTTGTCAGCTAGAAGTTATCTTGATCTAACAGCAATTCTCATAACTTATTTACAAATAGACGTGTTGAAGCTGAAGGGGGGAGATAACAATCAGATCTTAGGAGTTAAAGGGTTACAGGGTTAATGGTTAGTACACACAAGCACCACCCAACAAAATCTGCTTACCTAACAGAGGAATAAACTTGCTCTAGACACCTGGAGAGTATTTTTATTGTGTGCAGTTGGTTGTTTGGGGTTAATTAACAGCCGCAAGAAATTTGGAATGGCAGTTTTCTGAGGATTGGTCCCTCTTTGAAGCAATTAGCCACATATAAATGGTTTATTCTCAAAATTTACTACCATGGTTAATCATTAATGACAGGTTATTGCTGTTCTTAATGCCCACTGGTGTAGGCCATCACTGCCTTACATCAAATCAATGAGTAAATAAGCCATCTATTTCACCTCCTTCTAATTGCAAAACCACACACAGATCAAAACCAAAATGTGCAACCATCATAAATATTTAAGTTCAAATGGTACTGGCTCCATAGTAGTAGTTGTAGACATCTTCAAACATATAACACACTTTGAAACGGTACTTTTTACTCAAGTTAGTCAAGTATAAAAAGGGGTTAACAATAAACAACCCCTGAAAAACTGTTCACTTCCAGACAACTAGTGGGATTTTCAAGATGGCACACAATATCAGGATCTTGCACAGAAGTAAACTTGGAAGTGGTATCAATTGTTAAAATCCTTTAAAAAGTTACTCTATAAGCTTCTTGGCGATAAAGAATCGTCGCAAGTAGAAAAGTTGCCATGTTGCTAGACCAAAGAGACACAAAATGGAGAAAATACTGAAGTATAACACTCTGGAATAAGTAGATTCTGCAAAGTAAAAACAAAAATACCTAATTAGAACTGAGCAAGAAGTAACTTCTCCCTATAACATAGAAGAAAGTTCTCGTAACTGATTAAGGAAATTTGTAGCAGTTAGAGGGATGAATGAACAATCAATGTCTGCAGTAGGAAGGTTCAGTGCATTGTGATTTACCTTTTGACACGAGTCTGTTTTTGTGCATGAACAGGAGCTCATTATATCACAAAAAAACTGAGATAGAAATTATCCAATACAAACTTCACAGACACTCCATAACAAAGAAAAACTAAATGTACAGGTATATCTGTTAGTAGTAGTATTAGTAGAGATATTTGCCTAAATTTAAATTGATCAACATTATTCTCCACTGAAGCTTAAACAATGAAGACAAAGAAAAAGAAACCATAAACTGAAAATACTGTACAACTGACTATAAATAAAAGAAACACCTTTTAAGGTGTCCATACTTTAGAAAGCAAGCTCAAGTTCCTTACCATTGGTATCTCTCATCTCTTGTTCCCTTTGCCTCATGTAAGCAAAATCATTTACAATAGCATCACCTAAATCTTCCAGCCTCTTGAGTTCCACTTCCATGGGCTTGAGCTTTTCAGCCTTTGCCAACTATTTTTGAGAAAAACAAGAAGTCAGCTAATGATTTACAGTATCTACTTTATCCCAAAGAAGCATTTCCCACTGATGAGATAAAGTCAGCTTTGGTAGTTTTAGTACTGAATGCAGCATGATTCTGATTTCTTGTTGGTTTAAAACTTTGAACACAATTCAATTGTACTTACTTTTGCCTTGCATTCTTAACCAATAGGCTGCACTTTCTATCAGTTTACTAGCATAATAAATCATGAGGGTGTTAGGAGAACATGGGAAAAGTTTATAATCCTATCGGTCAGAAGCAAGCAATTTACAAACTTTTCAAGTCAAAGAAGGATATAATGCCAGTTAACCAAGAGAAAGTGCCATCTAATGCTTTTAAAACATAAACTTCAATTTTTCTATGCGTTAACGAATGCAATAAACAATAGTTATTTTTTAACCAATCAGTGCAGCAGTACCTCAGTTATTTCATGAAGTACCATACCGTAACTTGTATTATGAAACATCAACTTGTTTTCAAAAACCTGTTTTACGTGTACATCAAACTACTGCGAAGATTTCTTTCACAACTTTGGATCCAGTAGTCAGAATCAATCTTGAAATCAGATTTTGTAAAAGCAAAACACCCTTCCAGAGCATTTATTTGAAAGAAGGACCATTTTGTTCAAAGGAGGAGATTAATAACATTATCAAATAGAAACAAAAGGGAAGTCTACAAACATTTAACAGTAGTAATAGCTTACATCTTCATAATTCTTTGCTTCTACTCCATGCTTCACACTCAAGAAAACCTCACGATCAATTCCTCCTCCGGCTGTCCCTGTAATTTAGTAGAAAAGAGACAAAAAAGGTGTATTACCATTTTTTTGAGTGAATTGCCATCACTTTTTATCTACATATACTTTTAACAGAGACTTAATGTAATATTTCTAAATACATGTACCTGAGCAGGCCACTAAGTAATCAAATTGCTCTGGGTTTGAGATCAAAGTTAAGGTTATTATTGAACAAGTTATAAATAATGTGTACATGTAAACCTCAACAGTGCTTTGGAGAGACACAAGTGCAACTGTTGAAATACATTAATGGCATCATCAAGTTCAAGGAATATGAAAATCTTGCTCTCAAAATTTTCTCTTTACATGTACATGCATATTACTTTCTGTGGAAAAAATCTGTTTGTTCATTGTATCGCAGTTATAGGAATGAATGAACGTTTAATCATTTGTCTCATGATGAGCAGTCAACATCAATATTTAAGACTCAAGGCACTTGAAGAGAGTAACTCTTAATCAGAAGGGCAAGGAATTATCCTTCCCTTATGACATTTTCTCTCCCTTAGCATTTGCCTTGTCTCGTGCAAAATTCAATGCCGTATCATTCATCGTGTACCTTCACTTTCTAGGCAAACTTTATACATATCATAGTCGTCCGTTGTAAAAGCAAATTTCCCCTTGCTTGCATCTTCTCTCTTGTATAAGACATGTCCAGTTGAATCACTCACCTACAAAAATTAAAGGGGAGCGTACATTCATGAAAACCCTTTAGCATCGATCTACCATGCACATAATGCACGAAATTAACCTGCGGAAATAATTTAAAAATAAAAGCACCACAGGCTCATAGATAGAGGCCATATGCAATGCAGAAATTTCTACGGTCTTCAAACCCACCGTCAAGTGCGTTTTCATGTGTGGAGCGTCCGATAACTTATATTCACCGGTCACCAAGACATCTTTGTGTACTTCTTCTCTCAGACACTTCTCTTGTCCGGGCGGCAAAGTGAACGAAATAGAGCTTACTAAGGCAAAATATTCCAACGAAACAAAAGGTAGAACTAAGAAGATTGATAACGGACTCATTTCAGAAACGTAGAGTATTTCAAGACTAAATAAAAGTCTTGATTTCGGGCATCAATACGACTTTCAAAATGGAGGGCGACGTGGCATAAAGAGGGAGAAAGAAGATCCGGGAATTCTTTTGTTTGATGCAGACCGCTGATCAAGCACGGGCAATTAGATGAGCAGGCCTGGTTTCTAAGGAAAATGCGATGTTTTGTGCCTACTTACACAACAAAGTTTCTTTAAAGGTGAGCTTCTCAGGAGGGTGAAATTTTGCGATCGAGAGTCAGAATTGTCCTAATTTTTTTCAAGATGTCAGGAGGAGGAAAGGATAGGCTGAACATTTTCCCCTCAAGAATGTAAGAAGAACAATCGATCTTACATTTCAGTCTTTTTTGTGAAAGAATTAATAGAGAGAAGATGTTTGTTTCGTTATTTCTTTAGGGCCCTAACCTTGATGAAAGCTCGACTGAAAGGAGCTCAGAAAGGACACAGTCTTCTAAAAAAGAAATCCGACGCTTTGACGATGCGTTTCAGAAAAATTCTTAAAATGATCATAGAGGTAACTATTTAAAGCGATAATTGAGATGTTTGAGAATGCTGTTTAGAAAAATATTTTTATGTTACTTATGACGCTTCCCTGTTTTACGCGTACCACAGACCAAAACTTTGATGGGTGATGTAATGCGAGAGGCTACTTTCTCTTTGGCCGAGGCAAATTTTGCTGCTGGGGATTTCAGGTAACAATTTCTAATGTGCCTTAATTCTTAGCAGGCTTAGGACTTCGTTACGTAATGAATTCAGGCTTTTTTGATAGTCGACTGTACCTTGATCATGTGATTCAGTTGCTATTTCGCCTTAACCCTTTAACCCTTTAACTCCCATGTTTGACCAAGACAGAATTTCTTCTTACAACATCAATACGGTATCAAGCAGACAAGTGATGAGAATAAAGAAAAATATTGATAAGGGGATTATTAGTTGATCTAATACCAAATTCTTGCAACTAACATCATAAGAACTCTATGGCAGACAGTAAGGAGAATTACTAATTAGATCCTGGGAGTTAAAGAGTTAACACCCATGAGTGACCAAGAATTTCTCCCTACTATATCTATACAATATCATGCAGAAAAGTGATGAGAGTGTGAAAGTATTAATTATGGGATTACTACTTGATCCAATACCAAATTGTCTAAACTAATGTAATGAGAATCCTTCAGCAGACAGTATGGGGAATTATGAAAGAGATCTTGGGAGTTATAGGGCTAATTAATTGGCATTAATTTTAATGCTCAGAGATGACTTCTTAGTTAGCTTCTCCCTTTATAACCAATACATTGTGCAGGAAACAATTGACAAGAATTAAATGACTTATCCACTACCTTGGAAGTATTATTTGTTTTGATATCATTAATCAGTGGATAAGATTTCCTTTAAACCTCCTACTTCATTATACACACTGTACTTGGATGAAATAAAGTGTTTAAAAATTGGCAAAACAGTAGATCACCTCTGGGACTACAGCTTTGATTTGGAATAGCCTGGGGTTATATGGAAGTCCTTCAGTTAACTTACCAAACTAATTTGTTTATAATTTAATGGTAAGAGCAAGGATTTATCCTTTCCTCATGACATCTCCTCTCCATGTGCCTAGAATCTTGTGCAAAATCCGATGCCATGTCTTGTAAGCATAGCTACTTTCACTTTGCAGACTTAATAATTTTGTCATTGATTGAAGTGAATTTGAGCTTGTTTCTATTTTTCTTTTATCCTAAAATCCCATGTCATGCTTGTATTGGAACTCAGTCTGCATATAGACTCATTTTGTGTCTTTTTTTTTTTTTTTTTTTTTTTAAGAATGAAAATTTTCTTGTACCCTTTTATAGTCTGTGATCCATGTTTTTAAATGCCATCTTACCATTTCAGCTATGTGGTTTTGGAGAATGTTGACAAGGCTCAAACTAAGATTCGCCTCAGAAAAGACAATGTTGCAGGTAAAGTTTTCAATCACAATTATGTTTTTCAACAGCATGACTTAAAAACTCACTCAAGTTTGCTCATGAAACCTCACTTGAACCTCTCTGCTAATCTGCCGTGGTTCATGTTTTTCTCTTGTTTTACTCCTTTAAACCCTTAGTGTGACCAACATCTAATTTCTCCTTACAGCGATATTGCTGAATAATTCATTAAGATAAAGAGAACAAAGGAAATGATCACATCAGGAAGTAAATGGAGAATATCCTTACTGATGTGAGGGTATAAGGGATACATGTAACATACATTTTCTTCTGAAAATGACAATGGGTAATTTAAATGCAATTTATATTTTTCCTTTGCTCTTGTTAAATTACCATGACAATTCCTAAACAGGGAAAAGAAAAATTTAACAAATTGTCAGTGGTTTAGTGTGGTCTTTACTCATTTGTCAACAATGATATTTGTCATCACAATGGTCAAAATGTTGTTGACTCATGAAGCACAGCCAAGTGAGTCCACAACAAATGTTTATTTGTTTTTTACCACAATATTGAAGTCAAATAAAACACTTTCATTATTGCCTGACCAAGATCGTTGTTGTTGTCTGTAGTCTTATTAACAATGGCAAATTGGCCAATTGGATTTCAACACTACTGCCAATTGTGGTGAAATAAATTGCATAATTTATATTAAATTCACATAATTATTTTAATGGTCCTAACTATGAGATATGCACTGGTCATGTCCCAACTATTGTTAACTTTTATTGTTAGTGTTAGTAACTTTATTTTTTATCTTTAAATTTAGGTGTCCAGTTACCAATCTTTGAAACTTATGCAGATGGCGCCAATAGTAAGTTGGTCTCTACAGAAATCTACATCGTAGAATTCTCCAGTCATGTCTGTAGGCCCTTTTTATTGCTGATTTCTCTCTTAAAATGTGGAATATGATGTACCTAATGCATTTTTAAGTATTTTGGTCAGATACCTTTTTTAACATACCCGTAATAAGTGAAATTCAATATAAATTTTAATCAGTGACAGAACTGCTGTAACAGCATGCTGCCTTCCAGGACTTGCATAGTTCTCAACCCACAGTGGTGTGTAATATTGTCATCTTGAAAAATATTCCTGCATCTCTTCTCACAGGTTATGAGTTGACTGGCTTATCACGTGGTGGTCAACAAGTTTCAAAATGCCAGGAAGTCTATGCAAAAGCTGTTAAACTACTTGTTGAGCTGGCTTCTTTACAGGTAAATGCCTCTCTTTAAGAATGTTCTAAAATCAATGTTATTTTGTCTCTTTTTGGTTATTCCTTTGTAATGTAGTATTGATATTAATAAATAATCAAAGGCAATTTTCCTTATGGAAGTCACTATTTTTCCTGACTTTTCCTTACCAGTTCTCCAGAATTATCTCTCAGAACTGGACACTCTTATAGTTGAATTTAGATTGATATAGACTTTTTTGGAAAAATTTACAAGTCATGTAACAGCTAATGCATTTGTGAAAGTGCTGTTACATTTGAGCAAGTAACCACTCCATTGAAGAAAGAGTTCCAGCTTTGTGTATGGATTGGTGTTAAAAAAGAAAGTACAAGACCCCCTAAACCCAATACAAAGCAAAATAATGAGTAAATTATGTCAGATGTCCAAAGTAACCCAATGTATTTCTTTTTTTCAGACTGCTTTCATTACTCTAGATGAAGCGATCAAAATCACAAACAGAAGAGTGAATGCTATTGAGTATGGTAAGAATTTAATTTTCTCTCCATTAAGATCCTCAGCATTTCCTTTTTTCAAACCTCTTTGAATGATGTTTTTTTTTTTTTGTCTGGTAAAAGTCTTAACTTAATATCTAATCTTTTTCAGTTATCATTCCCAAAATTGAAGCAACAATAACCTACATCATAGGGGAATTGGATGAAAGAGAGAGAGAAGAATTTTACAGGTATATACTTGCAAATGATTTCTCTAACCAAAGCAACAAAGATAATGAAAGCCAGTTTGTGTCTATGAGAAATTTGTTAGTTGGCTACTGTATGGGAAATTTTGAGGAGAATTTTACAAGGACTGAGACAGTTTTATATGGATTGGGTCTTGACTTTGGTTCTGTCAATGAAGAGCATGTGATAGAAGGTTCTATTTCAGCTTATCAATTTTTTAAGTATTTTAAATTGAATGTGTAATTTATTTTACTGTTGTTAATTAGAGGTACAGGTTGGTTCCAAATGTTCATATTATGTGTTAAGCTGTCAGTAGCTTTGTTCATCAGTGAAATGTCTCACTTGTACTGTTATGTTCAATAAAATTCTCATGCTTTTACTTTGTATAGGCTTAAGAAAATTCAGGAAAAGAAGAAGATTAATAAACAAAAGGCAGAAGCATTAAAGAAAGCTAAAGGAATAACTAATGGTGAGAACATTTACAACAATTCTTAAAACACCTCATGCAAAGTGCCTTTTGGTGCTACAGGCACCATACAAACAGCTTATTTACAAAATTTACTCAACAAACTAACATTACTGACAGATCAGAACTGGCCAATCATGACCAACCTACACTTGAGTCTTACAGCCAGTAACATGACAGCAAAACTGACCAATTAGATTAAACAAACCAAACTTATAACATTGGACCAACAACTGCTCTTTACTCAACTCTGCTAAGGTTTTCAAAACATCAGTCAAGACTCTCAACAAATATCCTTCTCGGAACTAATCTCACTGGGGCGACAACACAACAGGGTCAAATGATAGTAGTCACTGACAGAAGAATTGTATACTTATCTATAAGCAAAATCCACTACAATTTTTCTGATACCTGGAGAACAAACTCCCAGTCCTTCAAGAGGATCATCTTATAATCTGTCAACTGGAAAGAAAGAACAAGGGAACCTTGCTATGTGCATGAACTATATTTGAACCTCTACAATGTGTCATACAAATTTTTTTTCTTTTTGTGGCAGATCAAACAGCAAATCTACTTGACGATGCAGAGGATGAAGACCTTCTTTTTAAGTAGTGTCTATGAAATGATTCACAGTGCCTAAGAACCTGAATTTTATTGCAGCTGTGATGAATTACAAGTTAATTATTACAAGATTATTGTAAGTTGTACCTATATGTACACTGAACAGATGAGTGGAAGGGAAATCATCCTTCATTTTTATGATTGCATGAATCTTTGAAGAGGTAACTACATGTAATATAATTTTACAAGGTTGTGTAATTATGGTGTGAATACAAATTTATAGTTTGAAGGCAAACATGTAGGAGTATGTGTGCCTCTCTATCTGCAACTACATGAAGTTGAATATGTCTAAAAAAAAGTGGAGTGGTTTAACCCTGTATCTTACTGATAACAACTGAGTATGAACAATGCACCATTTTCTTTTAAGTTGAAATATATATGATATGTAATTAAAAAATTATGTTTCAATGTTAAAATAATGTAATTTTTTAATAGGCACCATTTTGGATTGCATAGTAGAATCCCACTACTGTAACTGCAATGTGGTTAACCCGTCCTCCTCCTGTTAACTCAAACAAGATCTGATTTCAGTTATGTACTATCACCTTACTGGAAACCCTATTAACTAGAACCATTTTTGTTCCCCTTGGGTGTTCAAATAAGCAGGTTCTACTGTACTTGGTCATTATATTTAGGTTGTCACCATACTTTCAAGCTGTAGACAAATACTTTTTTTTCCTGATTGGTTTCCTACGAAAATCAAAGACAATGTTGCATGATTCAAAATGGCCTTGCACACAAAATTCACCTCAACAAATTTCTAACATCTCTTTCAATTGTTTCTGACCCCAAATGCTTTTTTCTCCTTCACTACCCAGAAAATTTCAATTTGATTTTGAAGACCAAGTCTTTTTCTCTTCTTTCTTTTTGTTTTGATATTTTACAACTTAACAACAGTGGAAGTTTCCTTTCAGCTCCATCCTTTAAAAGTTCTTGTCAGTGTAAGGAAGTGACAGTCTTGTTGAAATTAACAGCCAAGTCAACTGTCCAAAGATTTGAGCAGGAGAATTACCTTAATATTACTGGAATGCACTATTAAGTTCAAAGATTAAAAACTTTTCCCCCCCCCCCCCCTCCCACCCTGGCAAATTACAGGGGCAGGTGGGGATTTGAGTATGAAGTGTCAAGTCTTTCCAGCCGAACATGAGAGTGTTTAAGGTACATAGTTCACTTTTGTGAGTGAATAGCTCAGAAGTAAAGGTGCTAGGCATTTGAACACAGTTTTTGCCTTGGGGAAGGGAATTTGAATAAACCAATTTTAATGCCTGTGGAAGGAGGATGTTGAAGCTTCTAACTGATAAAGGGGGTTAGTTTCTAAAGAAACTGTGGTGTTGTCAGTGGGAGAGTATAACAGGGTAATATAGTATTATCAACTGTGTTGATAACATAAACTGGCCACCATAACAAATTACATAGCAGAAGTTTCGAGCGCTAGAGTGCAGGGCAAATGTTCAGCTAACCCTGAAAACATCAGCTCTGTAACTCTTTACAAGGGCCAATTTACTTTATCACCTCAGTTGGTAATACTAATTTTAAAAAAAATACCCTTCAAATTGATAGAGGCATAACTAATAACTTCAATACATCAATATCCAAGTAAGAATTATCTCTACAAGAATGAGTCAGAGGACTAGACTAAGTGTATTTTTCTCACTGTGTTTATTGAATTAAATATAACACAATATCACTTGCTCTGTTTCAGTCATTACAAACCCATTTCATGGGATTTCAATTATTCATTTTCCTGTTGTGTTTAACTTAGTAATACAATGTACTTATTACATTCTTTCTTACCATTCTAAGGGTTAAATGTAAGAAATCTGATGACAAAAAAAAAGTGTAATCAGAAATCTGTAAAATACAACCAATGAATTCAAAATGCATCTAGTTTCATCATCATGTGTTTAAAAGACTTTGATTACAAAAAAGGACTGTGAGGAAGGTGATCAAGAACTTGTAAAAAAATAGAACAATGACACTTACATAATAATTTTTGTTGTTGTTGCATAACATATGCGACCCAGTGACATTCTTTGCCAAAATAGCTTCATCTGTAATTAGTAGTTATTGTAAAGTGTTGTATAATTCAGTAGCAGAGTGTTTTCATGGTTCTCTCAAGTTCCATAGCCATTCAGAAGGATTTCAAGATAAGTTTAGGTTTAGATCCGATCCAAAGGGTTTAAATAGTAGTTTAGTGTTTATTTTCTTGGTGTTTCATCCAACCATCAACACCCTTTAAACAAATTTGCACTAGGGTTTTCTTGAAGTACCTCATCTCTATGATATCTTCATCTGATGCAAAAAAAAGCAGGTAGCTGAAAGTACCTGCAATAACTGTAGTAACCTATCATGGCTAACATGACTTACAATGTAGCATTGATCCATCTCGGTAATACTCAGTCATCCTGAAAGATGAAATGTATAAGACACAAAATGTTTAATTGTATATTTCATGCTTTTGTCTTTTTCACAACTTTACTGACTAGTAAAAGTAAAGGGAGCAGCTTAATACCATAAAAATTAAATAACTTCAACAGTGAAAAAGAATTTCATCAACAAACCAATGAGATCTGCCATACATTTTTTACCTTAAGTTCAGAACTATCCAGTCACAACTGATCAACTACTACTGGGGACAGCTGTTCTTGAATCTTACAAAGAATAACACTGCCAAAACTAACTGATAAGTATTTCACAAACAAGTCGTGCACCATTTGACTCTGACAACTTTGACTCTGATGATGACTTCCAAGGATGACAAAAGTCCAGTCATTAGCACCAATCCTTTTCAGGGGAGGAAGAAGGAGGGGGGAATGGGGTACCTACATGTCACATGACCCACTACTGCTGCCTTTAACCCTCTAACTCCCAAGATCTGATGGCTAATTCTCCCCTCTAGCTGCTACACATTTCCCTGTAAATTGGTTACAAGAATTTGGTGTTCATCAAGGTAATATCTTGTACCTGATAAAGTTAAGCATTCTCACTACCTGTTTGCTGGATAATGTATGGATGTTACAGGGAGAAGTTACATGTTAATCACTTCTGGGAGTTAAAGGGTTAATTTTGATCATCCCAAGATTCTCAATCATTAAAGCTGCTTGGGTTAAGATCACTCCTTCTTAAAGGGAGACTAGTTCACACCAGGTAACCCTTTCATTTCTAATCTGCTCTTCAGATTGATCACCAATCCCCATTAGTACTCCTGTCTTCCCTGAAGACACACACCATAATGAAGTAGCTAGGGCTCCAACCTTAACTTCCAATCTGATACTCACCCACTCATCATCCTCAGCACCATCTCCTTCATCTTGTGGAACATCTTGCTGTCCTTTGAAAGACATCACCTTGTCTGTCCAGGAGCTGCCTGCTCCTTCACCTCCAGTGTAATTTGTAGCTGTTGCGCTACCTGCATTGTCGAGTTTGACTATAAACTCTGTCACAAGGAAGGAGAATTGAGAATACTTTAATTTTTGTCATAAGTAACCATGTCATATTGTAAACCAATTTGGTTTGGTTATAAAAGACTTGGTGTGACAATGCTGAAAGGAAAAAAACAAAAAAAAAGGGGACATTGCTAAGGATAAGCTTTATACCATTTCTAAAGTATTTGTGGGTCTAATTTCTGATTGTGAACTTCAAGGTCACTATATACAACTTTTTTTCAGTTGCCTTAAATTCTTAAGTGATCTTCAGTTTGGTTGCACTGAATACATACAAAATGACAGTGATCTAAATTTTAAAGCATTAGACGATCCTTTGCCCAAATTGTGCAAAACAGCAGATACAAAAGTCAGGAGTCCATTGAGAGCTTTATGATGAACTGAGAAACTGGATTAAGTCTTGAGAATAAAATTATTAGGCAACTTCAGGTTTATTAAAAACATGACAGTAGTATGCCTCTTGCTTCTAGTGTTTCATGACTTTGTACTGTAATTTGCTTTACATATGTTACATTTATCATGTTAATACTTTGTTTGGGTTTTGACTGACAGCCATGTATGTTGCTGTGGGCCACATGCACCCAGATTAGGTGAGTTTGGAGAAGTTGTTTGGCAAGTTTGTGTTGAAAAATAAAATTTTTTTGGTGAAGACAAGTGTAACTTGCAGACCAGCGAGTGATTTATTGTTGTGGGAGCAACAATAGTAAAAAAGACAAACCCAAACATAATCCATTCTGCAAATAATGTAAAATAGTGAGATTACCGATGAATGGACCTTCTCCTTTAGTCTTTAATCTGACGGGATCCCCTTGAAGTAGTTCCATTTTCTCAATGTCTTCCTCTGCACACCAGAATGCTTGACTGATCACATTTCCAGTCTCTGGAAGTTTGTTTTCTGTCAGTCTGGTCAACTCTGTCACTGTTATCATTCTTTTTGCCTCAGCTGCATCAATTTTATCAGAATCTGTGGAAGCAGATGTCTCTGGAAAAAAAATTTCTCAAATTTAGAAAAATAAAGTGTTTTAGAATCAAAGTAAGGAGGGAAGACTGTGGACTAATTTCTGATGAAAACAACTGCAGGTTAACCAGCTTTTCAAGAAGTCTGGAGAGCACTCAAGGGAAGTTGTAGGTTATGCCTCAATCAACTCTTACACTTCTCTTGTGCTCTCCAAACCTCCCAAGTGCATCCATACCTCAATATACACACAGTGAGCACGAACCAATTCTTGTGTGCCATATTGCATACCATAGAATCATTCCTGATCGCAATACAAAAATTATCGATAGCGTCTTTGGATGAAGAGACAAACAACTGTACAAACCTCTAACTGTGTAGCTACAATAAACAAAACAGTTCGATTAAAAATAAAAAAAAACTTACTGTAAGAAGACATTAGATAACCAGTGCTAACTTTCTTGTCCTTTCCATAGTTAGGGTCAATTTCCTTCCCGGTGAGGGAATCAAACTTCCTCTTCAGGGCTTTTGAGATCTCTATATGTAGCACTACATAGCGCCACTATATCGCAAAGAAAAAGTTAGTTCATTGTGAAAATATATCGAATGCATTATTGGCAACCAATGGCTGAAGCAGAAATCAAAATTAAACATTAACAAAACGATACGGTGATTAAATAGAAAATACCTTCTGAGAACCCGAGAAGGGATCTGATACGGTAAATCTTAGTCGGCCATATACTTTACCCTCTACTATAATGCCGCCAGTCCTTTTACAGAAAGACAGAAGGGAAAGTTATTATGAGTAAATCCAAACAACCACTGAAAGAGTGCCATGCTATGCATTATATGTCGCTGAGTAGGTGGAATGTTGCAATCTTTAAATCAAACAAACCTTTGCCAGCGAAATAACTCTTCCGGTTCCCAACGTTTTTCCCATCTAATTGGAGTAACAGGAATCGATTCCAACGGTCTGTTGTCGTAGAGCATATGTGCACGAGACATTCTAATGTCGGAAATTTCTAATGCAATATAAATTTCAAGGTCAATTTTCCACAGGCGTTCAACTTCCTCACGAGAGCCTGGAAAAATGTTCATTTGACGTCCGTCACGCCAGACCCTCCACGAAGGTCACGCAAAGGGAAAACACCGGTATAGTGTAGGAATCAACATGGTCAACAAACTTTAATCAGGGGGGTAAGTTTCCCAAGAAACTGTAATGCATCACTGGGGAAGTATATCAAGATAATTTGGCTATACGAACTGAGCTGGTGACGTAAATTGGCCACTGGAAAGAGTTTATAATTAGGGTGATTTTTAGAGCCCATCTCCAGAGCGAACGACGAAGGGCTTACGTTCGAGATGTCAGCCTTTGCAGAAACTCGTTACGAAGGCCATTAATTAATGGCCAATTTACATTATCAACTCAGTAAATAAAAACTTTAAAAAAAAATTTAAAAATTAAAAACTTTTAATCAAAATTTTAATTTTGATTGGTTTTTACATGAGATCTATTAGATGACGTCACCACCGAAACCTTTTTTTTTTTTTTTTTTTTTATACCGTAGATATTTAGCAAGAAGACCATATGTTGCTGGGCGTCTATTCAGAGTGATAAATCACAGTTGACGTCAAAATGTGGTCAGACACGCACTTGTCACGCACTCGGCTGCGAAAATGTTTTTAGACTTCTGGCAACCAATGGTCAACCGCGGGAGGTCAAGTAGAAGAGACTACAGTGCACGAGGCACTGACAGTTTGCGGAACAAGCGTAACTTCTACGATCTGTTGTCACTGTTGTTCCTGTAATAAAGGAGTGCACTCTCGTGTAACACGAGTACAAAGTTGTAACACGAATGCAAATTACAAAAAGCGCGCCTGCGCTACCAAAAATTTCGTCTGTCTTGGACTATCTGTGCTGTTTTTCATGTAAATTATTAAAAGATACAAACATGATTGCGAGTGCAATTTAGTGTAATAAACACTAGTAAATTTTTCAAATTTATAAATAGCGCGCGCGCTGCCAATATGTCGTCTGTCTTCATTTTCTAAGATGTTTTTTCATGCAAATTTTTATCAAGTAATAACATGAGTTCGAGTGCGATTTCTCTGTCTCCTGAAGGAGAAACAGCTCTCCTCTTTATGTAGACTAAGGAACTTACGAAGCCCCAAACCACACACGCCGTCAAAAAGCGTATTTTTAGATAGCAAATAGAGAAGCTTGACTGCGAGATGTTCATCAATAAAGCCAATTTCTCAATTTATTACAAACAGGTCACAAAAATAATTATACATTCCTTTCAAGAAGAAGCTTAAAATAATAACGAGACAGAAGAATAAATTATACATTAAATAGGATCTCTCCCCCCCCTTAAATACGATCCCTTGTCCTAACTCATATGTATTGAAAGTAATAAACTTGGAGCATGAAGGAAGCGCATTCCCAAAATTAATAATTTTAATAGTTCAGTATGATTACCCGTATCTCAGCTTTACTATTGGCTAAAAAAGTGCAGTTTTTTCGCTACCTAGCCAGTACTTATTTCATAATAATTTAACACATGCATATTTAGGCCAACAGTTTACTGGCACAACAAGCTAGACCACAATATCGATTTCTTTACTGAGTCCCTTTGACAAAACAAATTGTTTAAACTTCATCCAGGAATATCCTTTAGTAAGTCGTCGACCATTAATAACGATAAGATTACAAAAACTCTTCATCCCATTTGCGGGATTTAACTAAAGATCATAATGTCTTCATTAACTGATCCTTCCTAAAATTAGTAGCAACATATATAACCTGTCAATCAATAAGAAACATTATTTTCAATTGTTTCGGGTCCTAAAGTACGCGAGGTTTGTCTGATGTTGAATAAAAACAACTCCCCGACTTACCAAACTTGCCTTTACCAAACATCAAAATGTCTCTTTCATTCAAAAAGAATTTAAGTAAAAAGCTTCGATCTTATGTCAAATTCCTTAATATGATCACGTACTTTAAGGCCGTCAAACATTAGAATAATTATCTTTTAATTGTTGTATTAAATTGTCTATAAATTAAATACCATTTCATTCAATACAAAACAATGCCAAGATGCAATTGTCAAAATATTGCCCATGAACTCGAGCGATTATAAATTTGTGCTCAGTTATTTTAAATTTTTACTCGAGAGTACAAAATTATTTTCAAACTAAGTTTAGCTTATCTCTCAGCAAAGTAAGAAAATATTCATCTTAATTTTTGCGTTAAAAAAGATATTTTCAAACAAATTATTCCGTTAACAGCTGTATACAAAAATATACACTCTATGAGAAACCCCATATGGTTTCTACGTTTTGTACGATGCATAAATTATTGTGAAAATTTCCAAATAATTCTTCAAAAAAAAAAAAGTGCGGATTATTGACTGAAGACGACAAAATTTAAAAAAAATCAAAAATTATAAAGAGTTTCTTTCAGAAATAGTATCGATCTGCGGCCTGAAAGAAAAACGCAGCGTGTCTCTTACTCGGCGACAAATATTTGCGTAAATCATCAAAACAAAAATACATTTTGTGGTTTGATTCAATTTCACTAAATTCAGAACAAACGCACTTAAAATGTTGAAAACTTTACTTTTAGCAAAATAAAGCGAAAGTGTTTCATTGCGTTATATTTAACATTGCACATTAATTCCGTCAACTACGTGACTACTAAATGGCATAAAATACCAAATTCATTTCTCTATATCGCCAAAAGCGTGTTCAGTTGATAAGCACCTCTTGACGAATAAAAGGTCAATTTTGTAATGGTTCACTGGTTTTTAAAATCCAGTTATTCTCACTTTTTCCTCTTTCACTCACGAACGCCCCACCTCTCTATTTCTCTCCCCTTAGGATCGTTGGATCTAATATTCCACGATAATAAATTAATGAAATGATAACACTTTAAAATACCAAACCGAAAAAATTAGCCATCGTAAACATTTCTTAACATCATTTTAAGAGAATCTCGTCAAAATAATTCTAAATGATTGAAAGGGTCATAAAGGCGGTTTGACCACATTTTATGAATTAAATAGTCTTTAAACACACTAAATTTGTCAACTTAATAATCTAAAAATTCACTAGTATAGCATAACCCCTCTCAAAACTACAGAACGAAGGACTTCGATGTAAGAGCACCCAAGTCTTCGAGATTGGGCTGTAGATTTCCGGCTCAAAATTTTATAAATTATTTCACAACCACAGGATTCCTCAAACTAGATTCGTGGCAAATTGACGCTAGATATTAAGTTTCTCCGAGAAAATTTCATACTTCAGCTCAAAGATGGCTGCAGTACTTACACTAGAATCTTACTTACAATATTTACGAACAAATCAGCAACTTTGGTCACGGAAAAAATTGCTACACATACATTGCGGTGATTTTCGCTTCTTTCGACCATTTCATGGCCCTGAAAATGTCTCTGAGCGCTGCAACAGTGGCAGTGTCTCTCTGGCCCCATTCCACAAGCATAGCCTCAGTTGCTGTTCTCCTATCCAAAGCAAAATTATTGATCTGGGTGCTGTTGAATTTGAGTCGTCCCCCCAACTGTTTCCATCTGTCTCCGGGATTTAAATATTGCGATAGTTCCGTAAGAAGGGTGTAAGGAGCTTCTCGCAGCAATTTATCACCTGAATTGACAAAGAAATAAAAGTGGTATTACAATCAAGATAGTGAATTTGAAACCGACAAAGAAAGGCAATTCTCATGAAGGCATAAAAAGGTCTCCTTCTACCACAAAATCCCACATAAAAAATTTCTTTGTGGCTCAGGGTTGAATAAAATAAGCTCTCACGCCCTCTGGTTGGAGGAGAAGTAGAAGGGGACGATCTTAGAGTTAAGTGAAGAAAGGCTTACATCCGCAAAAAAAATACGAATGATTAAAAACAAAGCTGTATAAAAAAAAGCAACAACGAATAAAAACAAACGATGCCACAAACCTTGTCGTCCTCCAATACAGGGTAAAGAGGTGTAAGGATTTTCTACAGCTCCTACGACTTCGCTTGAGTTTGATCTCGTACTGGGTTCCTCGCAAGAATCTACTGAGATAAAACGCATATATAACCTTGATGACACGACTCTTTCACTTTACCAAAACGTTGAATAAACAATTGCGACCTTCAGTGCACTTCTCTACGCAGCCTAGACTACGAGCAGTCTCTCTCATTAGGCAAATTATGTAACGCAAGTAAAAAAGCTTAACTGGAACTTTCGGAAAACTAGTTGTGTGACTCACTCACAGAGTTACGCGCGCTGCGCTAACATCAATAATTTTCCAATGATCCTTTTTATAAATTTTTTTTTTTTACTTACACGACGGACTTCGCCGAAAAGTAGGAACTGCTCGTGGCTTAGCGCAGCGGGTTACCGATTTATACCTTAAACATCGTTAAACAGCAAGAAAAGTTAATCATACCCGACTTGCCCCTGTTCTTTGTGCGTTTTCTGTTATTCCGCCTCCTGTGCAGGACAACAATGATCCCAACAATTATAAGTACAAACAGCAATGCGATCAGAGAGTACAAGACAGCCTGATAGTTAGTTTCTTCTTCCAAAGATTCATATTCTTTCTTCTTCCCCGTTACAGCCGCCGTAGACGATATAATCGCTGAAACAGAATTAGTAAGACGTGAGGATGGCGTCCAAGTTGCCTGAACCGCACCTTCTTCCCAGAGTCTCTCTTGTGTACCCACCCACTGAAACGTTTCAGGGGGGAGGGGAGGAGAAAGGGAAGGGAGGGGACCCCAGTGACGAGGTTGTCCTTAGCCAGAGGGCACACAGTCACAAGGACTACTTTTAAGAAATTTTCACTACAATTTAGGGATTGCTTATACCTTACGGTGTGCCTTTTCATCATTCCATTTTAAAATGTCACACATTTCATTGATAATCTCTAAAACTTTCTTACATTTTGGCGGTAAAATCGCATTCCCGACCACTGATGATAAATTTTTTTCCTTAAGTAACTCCCATGAGTGATCAAGACAGAATTTCTCCTCACAATATCAATATAATATCATCCAGATAAGTGATGAGAATAAAGAAAAATATTAATTTGAGGATAATTTGTTGATCCAATACTAAATTCTCTGAACTTACATTTTAAGAATTGTATGGTTGACAGTGAGAAGAATTACAAATTTGATCTGAGAGTTAAAGGGTTAAAGCACTGCACCTCACAGGTGAACTGCAATTTAAGCAATCACACAAAAAAAGCCTGAAAGAAATTCAGGCTTCGACGGGATTCAAACCCATGCCTCCTCCCAGATACTAGTTGGGAGTTGGGGGCTACTACATGTCAACTAAGCTACGAAGCCGCACTTTGCGAGCTGGGTTCATTTAGTGGGGGTTCTTCTTTCCAGTGGAGGAATCTGGTCAAAATTTTTGAGTGGTATTCATTTTATTAAAAATTATGCACCTAAGTGATTATCTATAATTTTTTAAAGCAACCTATACCCAAAAAAAATTGATAAAGAGAGACTTACTGGAAAGAGTTGAAAAAGATTCAGATCCTGATGAAGATTTTGACGGCTCTTCCTTCGCTATCCGTGTATCTTCATTAGTTCCTGGCTTTGATTTGGAGGGTACCGGTAAAAAAGGTTTCTGTTTCGAATTATTAAAATCTTTTTCCGGTGTGCACTTTGTGTCTCTTCTTCGTATGCAGGTTTCTTTAACAACTTCTCCCTTCTGACATTTGCTACATGGTTTACAAGCATCAAAGCCCTTGCCAACTGAGAATGTTTTTCCCTGATAAGAAAGAGAGACAATTCACAAACTTGATTTGAAATCAGTAAAATAGGGCTGTTAGTATCTCTGTATGATGAATAAAAATAATTTTGAATTTCATCAATAGGGAATTCTCTTGACAAAAAGTTTGTCTTTTCTCGTCACGATGTTACTGAATAAGGGTATCGATATTTGAAGGAGAAATTAGAAAAGGGCTCCGTAAGAAACCTCAATGGCCGTATTCATTTGATATTGATCATTACTAGTATCGCGTTTCACTGATCACTGAGGTCATCTGTATCGGACGTTTGTCTGTTTAATGGTTCTCGAATCTACTTTGACGTATTGCTTTTGAGACACGTGTCATTAAATATATTCGTAGTCCGCATATTTTGGTCGTCTAATTCTAATGCCGTCTTATTTTTCGTATTGGTAGAGTGTTTTTTTTTCATCGAGTGCCTCAAAGCCAAAAACTAAAGGAATCCCACCGGCTAATATATTAGGGCGAAGGAAAACGCCCTTAAGTGCCATAAAGAGCTCAAATTAATAACAGGCAGAAAAATGCGGTTGAATAAGACGTCATTAGTTTCTGTTTTGAAAATGATTGGTTAAGTTTTTGAACCAATCATTGTGTGAAGTAGAGCAAAACCTAAGCGATAACTAATTACTTTTGACACTTGATTAAAGACGCGCTATCGAAGCTTCTGACGTATCCCACACATACTTAGTCTCGAACGAATTTTCCTTCCTCAAAAATAAATGAAAAGAGACATATCTGCAAAGATACGTATTTCACTGGTCTTTCAATACATTGGAGACCCACCCGGCTGATTAATACAACACGTGGCGCAACCGACTGATCATCAGCTCATTTTTAATCGCTATGACAACATATCGTTAAGGGAGCTACGGTCGTCTAGGTAGTAATCAGATTAGCGTAATAAAATTTTTCTTTTAATTGGAATATATGCTTTAAATAATCATTTCCTAGGATGAACAAACATCAAAGAGGTAAGATTAACCCTTTAACACCTGGGACTGATTGGCAGCTAATTTCTCCTCACAGCATCACAGCTGAATTAAACATTAGGGTCGTGAGAATAAAAAAATCGTCAACTGAAGAAGCTATTGACCGTTAAAGAGAACAGTGTGGAGAATATGCACACTGATCCAGTAGTGTAAAGGGTTAAACCAAAACGAAACAAGGATGGCTATGTATAGGGATGATTGCCAGCGATTGCACTCGAAAAAACTTGAAAAACTCAAAAGTTTCGTTATTCAAGATGAAAATATGGTAGCATCGGTCATTTAGGAAGAAGTTACAGGTAGATCAGAGTATTTTAGGACTTACCCTCTCACACCGTTCACAAACTGTGTTCGTCGTTGCTGTGCAATTTTTCACAAATCCATATCCTCGTTTACATGGCTGGCACTTGAGACAAATCAGAAATCCGTTAAAGTAGTGACCAGGCAGGCACTCGCACTTCGTGTCCGAGGTAGGGGTACATGCTTTGACCATCACGTTGTTCCTACCCACACACCTTTTACACGTCGAACACATTCGTGCATTTTCTTGAGCCGAAAATGTACCATTTGGACATTTCTGACAAACCAAAGAAGTTGAATTAAGAAACTTTCCTGGACCGCATCCCACGGCGATTGTCTGCGAAGAGAAAGTGAAATCAGTTCTTGCTTTTTTTTTTTTTTTTTTTGAGGTTTTGCTGTTCCAGTCCTTGTAAGTTGGTTTATCATGACAGTATTGATAAAAAGGAATCCTCATAAAGCTATTTTTAATTTAATTCGATGGTGAAAATTTGACAATAAATAAAAGCGACCAAGCCGTTTTTATGACCAAACAGGCTCCCTTTGACATCAAAATCCCCACAACCCCTCCCTACTCAAACACATTTTCCGTTTCGTTAAGGGGAGGAGGAAAACTTGCTTAGGCCAGCTTTTGAGCCCGGTATTGTTGAGTTTCAGTTCAATTTGCGAGAGCCACCTAAGCAAGACATACTTCCCCTCTCACAACACCGGCTGTCATGTAATTCGCGACAACACCAAACCGTGGAAAACTGGGATAGAGAACTTTGGCGATGTGACTAAGTTCCGTGATGCATGCAAATCCGGATCATGGGCAAATACAAAGGGGGCCCCATGTCAAAACAGTCTTTGACACTAACCGAAAATTTGGCAGAAATAAGTAAAGACAGTAAAAATTAAGGATTATTCCAAATTATGTTTTGACTTGCTACGCTTATCATGCGATTACTTTGTCCATTGCTTAGCGTTCGTACTAAGTCTCGTCACGTTGTTAACGCACGTTCGACATTTATTTCTGCTAAAAGTGTCATTGTTCAATCAAAATTTAAGGTCAGAAAAAAATGATAGAAGCCTTTTTATTATGAATTAAAAATTTTAGGGAAACAGTAAATTTTTCTTCCTCTTCTTCACGTTTTTACATGATAATGTATTTAATATTGTAAGGAGAAATCACTCATTTGTCAAGGAAGCTGCACCATACTGCCCGTTTTTTGTTTTTATGTTTTTTTGTGTCTTTCTTTGGGTCTCTATTCGTTTGTGTTTGTTTTTTCGTTTTTGTTTTGTTCTGTGTTTTTTTGCATTTTTTCTTCGTTGCAGGAGGAATAAGGAAATTTTTTTTATCTTCGCGTCATAATCAATCTTCAGACAACATCTAAAAGAACTCGCCGTTTACATCCCACGTGTTTACCGCAGTGAAGCACCACTCCAAGCAAGCCCACATTAATCGCAAATAATGAACGCCGCTTCTCACGTCAGATTTCAATGAAAAATTTAGTAAAACTTTACAACTAAAAGGCAAAAAATAGTGCTTTTCTTTTGAAACCCCTTTGATTTCCATGTAATTGTCATGATACTGAAAACATCTTAATTGAAGTCAGAAAAACACTGCACAGGGTCACGTCTTGGGGGTTCAAAGCAACTTTTCATTTGACCGCTCAGTTATGTTTTCTAATTTTGTTTACAGGGTTCATATGACATGTACTCTTCGACCTAGGAGGTAAAAAAAGTTCTAATAAAAATATTTCACACCGAAGTGAAAGGTAAATTGCCCTTTACAGCGTTGCGTGCTTGACTTCATGCACGGGTAATTAACACAGACATCTCGGTAAATAACACACGCGAATAATATCAGACGGCAAACAAACTAACCACTTCACGGTCTACGAAAGAGCAAAATTAACCGTCCAAAAAGGGTGATTTATATTTAAATTAAGACGAAGTTTCAACGGAAGTCCACAAAACAGAACACAGTTAAAATCCTACCCGCTGAAATGAGCCCTAACATAGCGTGAGCTAGCACGAAAAGCCAATTAATCGAGCTTGGCTTTATGTGGTTTCCGCCAACACTTAAGTCGGTTTACATTCTAATGTTTGGCGGAAAAAGGTACGAAAAAAGGTCCTCTCAACCGTTTTAACATGTGAAATAGACAACCAGTAAAATAATTAACATATCACTGGAATAAAAAAGTTAATTTCGCTTTCCATTGTAAAAAGAACGCCACAAATTCAAATGTTAGACAATGACATTTCCGTAGTCGAAAAGGCGCTGACTTGGCAAAAAGATTTTGGCTGGTCACGAAATGTTTATCAAGCGCTGGATTCGAACGGGTGCACCTCCTTTAAGCACAAAATACTTCTACATTTTAAACATGAACTGCAACAAAGTGAGAGGATAGAATGGTTTATCGCCTTGTACAGTGATAACATAAATCTCCACTTGAAATGCCAATTTCCCGCAGGACGAGCATGGTGAAGCAACACTCAGCCACAAACTTTACCTTTAAACTGAAAAAATGTTTCCTTAGCGATTTCCTTAACAAGAGTGGTTTCGTAATCTTAAATTATCTACAAACGCAAACAATATCTTCTGTTTACGATGAAAATTCACCAACATCTTGTTAACGTGCGGATTCATTCAAAACCACTCGCATTAATAACTTGAACAAACATATCATGGCTGCTTTGGCGCCTGCGTCGAAATAACCAAATTTCGCGAAGCAAGTTATGTACCACGGAAATTCCGAGTTTGAAAGAAGTTCTTCGCAGATTACCTCATAAGGAGAAACATTTAACTAAAACGCATCTGATAAGCTGAGCTTAACCTTACATTTTTAGTTCAGATTTCTCCCTCGCTCACACTTGATATTTTTAAAAAGAACATGTGTAGGCGTATGACTTGTGCAATTTGACCATACACACAATATTAGTAATACTGACCAAATTTTCTCGTTGGTTACCGCGATTGCGAACTAAATTCCTATAGGAATAATTCTAAATTTCGCTTAAAAAATGCAATTCTGAAGAAAGCCCGACATATCGCGCACGGATGAACATTTTATCAGTCGATTGAAAGTAAATATGTTTACTACAAACGATGTCTTCTGTCGACATCATAATAAACACAAACAAATATAAAAAACGATCTCCAACCTGTACGCTGTGAAAACGTGAAAACGGCATCCCCTGTGATAATAAAACTACGCACCAAAGATACTCAAAGCTTCCAAAACCCATTTTGGGCTTTTTAACGACGGTGCAGAAGAAACGCAACTTTCCTGCTAGGCAATGCATGAGTTAATGTCAAGTTCGCCGGGCGTAATATGGGGCTATTGTTCCAGCACTGCCAATCATTTACTTAAAATGCGTCTTGACTTTCAATGTCGTGTTCAGGCATATTTGAAAAGACCACTGATAGAATTGTGCTGTGAAAAAGGTTTTAACTTTCTTTAAATCTATGTTCCATTTTTATCGCATCAGTCTCCGCCAAGAGTGTGTGTTAAAAATAGCATTATGTAAAGCAGGAACAATTTCCTATATTCACGTAGCAAATACACAATTAGGAGCAAATTTAGCTCTCAATGAAAAAAGTTTCATTTCTTTTCCTTTCCACCGAAAATGTCTCAAGCCGAAATGACAAGCCATTTTTCCACACATGTATAGACAAACGCATCAAACAACTAGCTTAAAAGATAACAAATATTCGAGGGACGAAGTCCATTTTCTATGTAATTTATATTAAGCGACATTCAATTACAGAAAGAGACAGTTAGTCGCAACAATTCAAATGTTTACCATCTAAATTTCCGATTCTACCCACGAAGGTTTGAAAAAATGCACCAAAAGGCAATACAGAAACGCCTTTTCCTTACTGAGGAGCGATTCATGCACGAGTGACGCCCTTTACTAACTTAAATATGGATATATTTTATTATTGAGAATAAAAACTTCTGTTCTCAAAGATTCAAGACGATCCATACTTTTAACATAACATTTGCGACAAGAACAATAACGCATCATTATAGGAAAAACGAATATGTAAAAATTCGGCTATAGAACATGTCGCCTTGAGTTCACATTTAAGTCACGTGCAATAAATTTCAGTAGAATTCAATTATTGTAAGTGAACATAATTTGTCTTCTGTTCTCGAGTTAATACCCCTCAGTTGCCATCAGACCTCTTCGTAGAAAACAGAACTTATATTAATACTTATATCTTTAAGGAAAGTGCCAAAGGTAAAATATTTTCTTTGGCTACGAGCAATAATTAAAACCTATGAGCTATTTAAGATAAAATGTGACCCTTGTTCAGATAAGGGCCTGCCAGAAATAGGTCACGCAAGCATGTATCATTGCAAAATCTTACTTGAAATATTTTTAAGTGAGAAACATGGCATCTGGACCGAAAAAAATCAAGTGCACTATCCACTAAATAATCTTCAAAGAAGTTCGTTTATTAGAAACAGAAAGCATTCTAATCGCAGCGCTGTAGACCGCGCGAAACACTATGGCGCTAGCTTTGTCTAGCAGATCACGACATATTATTCAATCTGTTTGCTTTATATTGCTTTGGTATGAATTCGCGTTCAAGTAGTTAAAACATCATGCTAATTTTCTCCGTTTTCCTGTTTTCTTTTACAACAGTAAGCATTACCTCCCCTATAAAGTGTTTATTTTCTTGTATTTGTGTCCGACAAAGCGTTAAGTAAGAAAGGAAATGTGTATAGTACGTGATTTGTTCATGTGAGCTAAACAATATTACACTTGAAAGCGCTGTATGCATCGTTTTACACGTACAACAAAGAGTTCTGTGAAGTGGTAAAACAGGCGACGAAAAACTGTGCGGGAGAAGAGTATTTAACCAAAATGCCGTTCCGATGGGAAATAGAGTTCCAGCTGTGTAAAACAAATCGAACGGTTTCCGGTCCTGAAATCAGACCCGTCAAACACGCAACCCAATGAAGCTTTTATCTATATTGTATGCAGGGCTTTTTAATGAAAAAGCGCATTAAACAATTTTGAGTGGAAAATTGGTTTTAAAAAAATCTGTAAATTTGAAAGTACACATCGTTTCCTAGATTGCGATAGAACGATAGATCCGTAAGACTGAGCGATATTTCCGGCGAAAGGAAACAGTTTGGAATTTTAATACATTCGCGATGGAATTTCCTTGACATCTTGTATTTAATCCATATCGACAACGATGCGTCTTTACTGAAGTAATGAATTACTAGATTACGACGCGATTTAGTTTGTTTTGCCACTTCACCACTTGACAACATGGGAGCATCTTGCAAAAACGAAAGAGTTGTTTTCCTCGACGAAATTATCCCCCAAGGACTTAAGCCACCTTGGCTTTTGCAAATATTTTTGTCCATTTCAAAGAGCTGTTTTCGCCGACGAAAATGAATAACTCTAAGGCACCATTCCACAAGTACGCCTTACAGGTGAATTATTTCAACTATGCTGGTGCTGTTTTGTTGTAAATAAGGGTCGATTAGACCTTTCGATCTTTAGTAGCTCTCCCATCGCGATTTCCACAGTCAAAATAATTGCGGTCTGCAATTTAGCTCATTTTGCCACGGGCATTGAACGCATGATGTTTTGTTTTACAACATATTTGCCAACTTTAGACTTACGACTGGCGCCCCGCAATACACGAGACTCACAGCAAGCTATATCTTCGTAAAAGAAAAAAAAAGGTAAACACGACACGCTCAATGCTCTGCTTTGTGCAATTTTCACTCGACTGACACCGCAAAGTGCAGCAATGAAAAGAATCTTAAATTTGATTGTGATCTCTATTTATTGCGTATTGTTTTCGTGAGGCAAGTTTGAACAGATGCAGGGAGGAGGGTCAGTTTACAAGTCGCCCGAGCATACAGGCCGGCTAACACGAGCCGACAAAGAATGCTACTTACCATCATTTTAGATGTTTAATTTGCCGAAAAGGTGCGAGAAAAAAAAAACACTCTTGAAATGGATTAAGAAACTCTAGCGAAGCCAAAAGTGCCGCCAACATTTAAGACGGCGTAATGCTAGCTAATGTGAATCAAGCGAAGTAAAGCGATTTGTTGAAATTTTGTCCGCAGGGCAAAGGCCCCAAATGAAGCGTTGTCAAACGCCTTTTCCTTTTCTGCTTTCGAGTAACGAGTATTGGGTTGCTTTGCCCGAGTGTTTTAGTCGCTGTTATGTTTTGCAGTCCAAACAAGTCGGATATTTGTATCTCGCAGTTGCTTTCAAACCACACAGCAATTAGTTGTACACTGATGGAACCGCGTTGAAAGTTAATTATTGCAAAACCCAAATCAAAACATATCTTTCAAAATAAACAACGAATCTACTCAACACGAAAGAGAACTAGGAATTATATCCTAATTTAGCACAAATATCGAGTTCAAGACGGCTAGTCGCCTGACGATAGCAGCTGTATTCGATTTTCGCATTCACATGGTGGTCTCCAGAACATATGATACGTGATACTTTGTTAAAAGCATGTGCTTGTGCGCTCTCTGAAAACACGAAAACTTCTCAGCGAAAGGAATAGGTGTAGAACCCACAGCTGAAACGACAATAGCGCAAGAATGAAGAATAAATCCCTCGTGAAAAGCTAGAGTGAGATGTGAATCGTGTCAATTTCCATTTGTATTGGAACTGTGTGTTGTCACGAGCATAAATAGCAACCAAAGGGAGATTTTATCATAACTGCTTTCAAAAACATCCTATGATTATTCGCATCAAACAACCCCGTGAAAACATAATTTTTAGTGTCATTCATAGAACTAATCTGAACGCTAATGGCCCTGAAACGTTTCGAAAGCGACTCGGTCGTCCAACGCCAAGACGATGAAATAAGCAAGGTAATCAAAACCATTCTAGATTTCATAGTGCGGACGCCTCGAAGCCAATATGATACGAAGAAATTGCTATGTTTTGTAGAAAACAACTTTATAAAGATGAAGGACCTACCGTAATCAGCAAAGAGCTCCCGAAAATAGTCGCCAGAAGCGCGAGAGAGCGCGCTACCATCTTTGGTCCCTCCTCGATCCGCGAAAATGCTAAGCTCGGCAATCTTTTGAAGGTCGACCCCACGTGAGTGTGTTCGGGTTTTTTCCCTTCCATGTGACGTCACTGTTTATTTTTGTCATGCCTTGATTCCCATGGGTTCCCGCGACATTCTTGAAAGTCTCGTACATAGAGGGATTTGGAAAAGAAACTTATTAATTGGATTAACTCTTTTTTAAGAGAGTAAACACCTCAAAGAATGATAGCAACGTATTGTTTTATAGCCAGAGAATTATTTAAATTAATTTGTGACTGAAATGACAGGGAAAGGAAAAATCAAAAATGGTTTTATTCGAGAATGGAGCAGATGTCATCGACCAGAGGCCCATCGCCGCTAATACTGCTCAATTGATAAGACCTACATTCAGGCAGACTCTTTTGAAAGAAAAAAAAGAACAAAATTATTCTTCTTCCAAGATCGGTTGAAAAAAAATAATGAATAACTGTTTATGTTTAGTGACCACCAAAGTTTTGAAGGTAAAAGATTACCGTCAAAGAAAGTGGGGCCAAGGTAATCAAATGGATCGACAAGATACTTTAAGTGCCATATGCGGAAATAATTTAACTGGCAGAGAGTGATAAGCGCGTGATGGCCTCTTTACAGGCGCGCGAGATTGAAACGCCCTCCCAATCCTTTGATCAGTTCTTATTATACTGTTATATTCGCCCGATTACTTTCCACAATTGACGAGCGGGTTTCGGAAATAATCTGACGTCATAAGCTTTAGCTCATCTAATTGTAAAAGTGTATATATACTTCAAGTTTACTTCCCACAAAATACCTCTACAGTCTGGGAGTCTAGAAATGTAACAAAGCATGTTGTTATTCTGATGTATCAAACAAGCTAGGCATCTTTTTCATTTCTGTCAGTAATTCTTATAAATGGTATATAGAATACCCCAGGTCAAAGAGGTCATAATCTCTCTTTTGATTTATTCCTGCCGCTTGGTTCATTCAAACTTGATCCGAAGAACAACAAGGACGAAGGGGTTGGAAATTTTTGCACTCAAATATTGACGTCGTCTCTCAACAGTAAAGAAAAGAGTTCCTAATGATTAGATATCGAGGAAAGTTGTCACAAAAAGAGGAATTTTGTCATCGACTTCTTAAATTTCAATAGGTTTAAATCCCCTTTATCATTTCCAGAACGCCGTACGTAATTTGCCCTTTATGGGAGTGGCCGACTCAGTGCTTTGGGAATGTCAGTGAACCAGTATCAGATCGTTTAAGGAATGTGTTTATATTACCATGATCAGACCAATTGACGACTCGTCGCAATTTCGAACTCAAAACAATTCATTTGTTTGGTAACATAACTCCAAAATTAGCAAGTTTCGACTTTGGTGTGACTCCCAGTTTAAAAAGGTTTTCTCTCTGAGCTGAAAATAGAACGAAATCAATCTACGAATCATTTGCCGCCCACGGGTGAAAACCCCAAGTCTCTTAGAAAAACATTGCATGCTTATAAAAGCACGAGTCTTTTCCAATTTAAGATCTTCTTTCATTTTAGGGTAATGTGATGTAAAATAATCTCTTCGGCGCCGATTCGAAACGATTATTTTAATAGCTCGGCTTTTTTTCTTCTCTACTTCCGGCGACTGCCCAAATTGAACACGACCAGGCTAGTAACGGCATCAGGCGAATTGCTCAAAGAAAAATTAATAATTTTCGCAAAAGTTCTGATTCGACGCCGCTTCACCAATCAGTTCTTAAAGTTCGATTTGAGTCCCTGGAGGCTGGGAAAGCGCAAGGATATTCGATGAAAAAGTCAAAGAGGAAGTGATAAACTATGATCAATCGCGGCGGGATGTTTGAGAACGAGACGATTCAATGACATTTAGACGGCTTGATGATTATGACAAAGCTTTCACGAACACTTATTTTGTCGTTTCACCTTAAACGAGACCTTGGTTTTTATAAACATTGGACCTACGTTCTGTTAAAAAAAAAAAGGGTAAATGGCATGCTTTTGAATAAGTGTGTCATCCTGTTAGAGCTTTTCACGGTTTCTAGGGCACGAGGCGACAACGGGTATTGATATGCTAATCCCCTTGAATGGCATGATAATCTTATGTCATCGCAATTTCATCCAACAATGGCTTTAAGTGTCTCTGACAGTTTGCCATCACTTGCATATTTGTACTGCCACGTCTTCTTTGTCCAGATGCAAAATATGTCAGGAAGAAATATTCAACGCACTGTGCAAAAAATTCTCTCTGTTGAGCAAGATAAATATTTTTCCAATAGTCGACAAATCAAAGCACAAACGCGACGAATGGAAAATAATTCTAACCCTTTTTTCTCAAGTGCTCTTTGCCCCGATTTCATGTGCAAGTGTTCACAACTTTGATCAATATCGACCTAGTAACAGCTTAGCTCTCTTACTGCTCTCTGTAGCTCAAGGTAGAGCATCGGAGCGCGGTATACGTCGACCAAAGGTCTGAAGTTCGATTTCTCAATGAGGACTTTAATAATTTTATTTGTTCTACGCTCGTGACGAGACGAATAACACTTTCTTTGACAAGATCACAATTAGACTCGGTGATCAGTTCACTGAGTGATTCAAGTTATTAAACGTGCAGTGATATAAGAAGATCCTTTATCAACCTTTTACATCCTAGCATCAGTATGCATATTCTCCACATTGTTCTCTGTACATTTCCCAAGGTGCTCGCCCGGAGAATTTATTTAACAATCAAGAGCTTCTTTAGGGAGAAATTAGATGCTAGATACTCTCAGGGGTCAAAGGGAACCAGATAAGGGAAATGTATTTTACTGATAGGAGGGCATCACGTCAAGGAGTCAGAGTATCTGCGAACACTTCTTGCATTGGTCAATTTACGATTCATAAACAAGACTTAAGCATCGCTTTGACCTTCACTAATTAAAAAAAATATGGATCGAATAGCATACAAGGCCATAACTGCTTCTTTACTCGCCTTCTAAGGCTGCTGATAGCATATCTCTCTGCATGATTCATAAACAGTTTTATGCGTTTGGGACGCGTTGAATCCGTTGCTTAAAATATTTGTGTTCACATACAGTAAAATATTAACTCTTTTTATTATTTCTACCCATTATCAGATAAAAAATATTGCTTGGGTATTCAAATGTAAGCGCTGTTTAAATGATTTCGAGTTCCCAAATGATGTCAACAGCTTATTCTAAACAAACACACAGCATTCACTTTCTATCCTTAGAGGGGAAAAAAAGTAACCTAACTTTTTTAGTAACGGGGCAGTAGACCGTTGTCAAAGATGAAATTATCGGCCTTAAAAGCGGAAATAAGTTATGCGAAAATTCCGTATATATTGGGCTCAGCGGTAATGAAGAGACGGTTACATTAACCGAAAAGGCGCCTCACCTTTAGGCGACGGCGGCCTCTTAGATGCAGCGTTTACTCCGGGGCGAAGCCGATAAGAATGAATACACTGCTTGAGGCTTTATGCGGCCAATTGCATCTCATAGAAGAGGAGAAAAAAACTACAATCTAAGACCGTGTTCTAATTAGGATGAACCGTTTCAACCGCAACCGATAGAGGTTGAAGTGGTTGTTATCTCGAAATATAAATCCCTTGACCATCTATTTTCGGTTGAAAATAGCTTGTGGTAAAAGTCATTATCAGACAAAGAATTCAAATCATTCTTCTTCTTGTGCATTGTGGCACGATTCCCACTCCTTCGCTAATTTGCACACTTTTGAATTTCCTTTAATTCCGAATTTCTTTCAGTTTTACTCGTTACTTGTTTTCACGATAACAAAACTTTTTTTTTTTCCCCTCACGTTCATAGCGAGCGCGGAAGCCGCCAAATAAAGCCAGCAGTCGTCATTATATAAGCACGAGAAGACGACAACGGTTGCTACCCATTTTATTTCAACCTGGTTTGACCGATTGAAAGAGTTGATCAACCAAATCAACTTAAAATGGTTTTTCCCTTATGGAAAATTGAAAACCAAACCGAGCCAACCAACCGAAAGACCATAAACGACTAATATCGATAGAACACGACCTAAGTTACTGTAAGCCAGCTCTCCGGTTCCCAGGTCTCCCGCAGTAAAGAGACTGATACCAAAGAAATATTGTAGACGAGCGAAAGGGATTGGCTTTTAACCACACGCACTGTTTTAAATTACTTTTTGGCCTCTTGGAGCAGCTTTTGACATAATTTCTGTACATTTTAAGAACACCATCCGCAGCTGTATTTGCAATATTGTCTCATAATACCCATGGCACTTCGGCTTTTGCAAAATCCTTCTCTAGCTAAGTTATGGCAATCTGCCACCTCATCTAAGCACATGCGTCCTGAAAATGATCATAAACACATAACTGAATCAATGATCTGAAACAAAATATAGAAATTTTCGCCTGAAGAAGACTAGCAGTATGCAGTCGAAACGTCGCGATCTACACTCGAAGTGACCACATCGTCAGACAAACGATTATATTCCTTTTTTGAAGTAGAGATTTTCAAATGAGTGTCAAAAGTAACCCGGAATTGCTTTGGTGGTTATCCTTCCCTTGATTTTGCTCTATGATTGGTTCAGATAACTCGCGAAATTTTCTCGACCAATCATACTAAAAACTGAAACTATCTTAACTTTTTCATTTGCGTCTTCTTGCTTCAAATATTTTTTAGTTCTGTGTGGTTTCCGTTTGACGTCACTCTGCACTCTTCTCTAACAAGTAGACAGTGATTGTCGTGAGGAGCCGCGCACTTTTTTCGGGGAAGCGCAAGTTACTTACTGGACTATAACGTGAATTTGCTCTTGGTTTACTTACCGTTTTTATATCCCCCTGCCATACAAGACTCCCTACAGTTTTGCAACATAAACTCTTGGTGAAGGTAACAATCACCATTCCGCACCCACGATCTGCATCCTCTTGGCATTCTATCACGTGCTGTCTTCTCAACTAAAAATAGTATTCATACATTATTTAGTAAGAGAAACCGAAGTTGCGTCACTCTAACGCAGGTTCGACTATTCAACTAAATAGTCCTATGAAAAGCTGAATCATACATCTATGTGGACTGGTTCCTACTTATGACTAACAGACGCATAGATGACGTCACCATTAACGATATTTTGTATTTTCTTTTCTGAAGTATCAGTGACACACTGAGTGCGCCGCGTGTACCTTTTCTTTGATAGAACAGGCCATCAGGGTCATCAGCTGACTATTTGTTAAAAGTAATTAATCTCACTTATATTCTGCTGTCTTTCCTTTCTGTGTAACCTCTACCTTGGGACCTTGAGACTTTTTCCAACTAACAGTTGTAACTTTGAAGGCTTATAGCGATGTTACACGAAAAATATCTAGATGACAAAAGTAAAAAAAAAAGAAGGGAAAAAGAAATCCTCACTTCAAAAAGGATCGTTCGGTCCATCACATTTCAGTTTTTTCTCTCTTTCAGTCCTCTTTCAGTCCTTTCACGAAGGGGGAACCATCGTCGCTAGTAAAGTATAAAGGGGGACGCGCCCGGGAGTATAGAAATATGACTGCAAACTGGAGGGGGGTCATTAGATTACTAAAAGGCCTTGGGGGAGGGGAGAATCAGATCAGGTAAATTTCATTGTGACACAATCAAAATCCTCAGATCCCAACCCCCTCCCCCCCCCCCCTTCTAGCGATAAATAATGACCGGCTCTTATTTTAAAAAAAGATGCTTACTTGTTGATTTGGCGCATTGTTTACAAGACCAACGACAGAATGCAAACATGAACACCGTGTTATCTTCACAATCTCCTCTTCTGGCCCATTCTGCACACGCTGAGCTGTAATCTTGGCATCCTTTCAGGGTTACTAGGATGGAATGAGGTATAGGCATTTCATGAGCCTGAGTTTCATTAAATTAATAAATATACGATAATGTTACCGCTAGGTTTGGCTTCGAGAAATGACCCAAGGCTGGCGTCTGGAATAGCGCTGAGCCCAAAAAAATAGGTCTCTGTAGAGCTGTTGGTATTAAGAAAAGGTTAAAAAAGTATTCCACGATCGCATTAGGCTTGCTCTTAAACGCCTCCGTTTTCGTCCAGAGAACATGCGCAGTCCTCGCTACCAGTCAGATGCAAAACTAAAAACCAATCGCAGCTGGGTCACCTGCCTTTCCCGTTAGCCATTGTGATAGAGCAGGAGATTATAATTTCATGTAGTTTATCAATGAAAACCCATTGTAGAAATAGGTAAACTACCAAAACCACGGGAAACACGGGTAACCAAGCCACGATTTACACTCGTTTTGACTCTCACTGGTTGAGAGGATGATGCGAGTTTTCAGGACCAATTGGAATCAAAGTAAAACAAAAAAAAAAAGATCCCGGATAACTTTCGCCACTGGATCGATAAATCCTCTATTTACCTGCGGAAGTTTTTTTCGATTTTCGGATACTGTAAATAAGTTGATAGGGGATGCCCTTGCAAGTTATGATCAAAGGCACAATTTTTCAAGGCTTTCTTCAGACTCATGATTAAATGGATAAGTTGACGCACCATGACACAAAAGTGTAAATCAAATTGAATTTCATTTTCAGTCCAGGACAGCAGATTATATAAACTAAATCTGGTCCCAATGCCGATTCCCATATAGAGTTGTTTTAGTTAAGTTTCGAAAACCGAAACCAAAATAGTCACAGCAGTCAATCGGAGCGAAGGCCGACATCATCGTTAGCCAATGAAAATTTAAAGTTTAAGTTGCATGAAGCGCGGAACAATGTAAGTGATAAAATCACGATTGGTTTTGGTTTTGAATCTGATTGGTTGAGAAGGTGGCGTGAGTTTTCGGGACCAATCATGGAGCGAAGTTAAGCAAAACCAAAGGAAGGAGAGCCCCTGAGAAAGCCCCTACAGCCTCGTACTTACCTAACTTCATAGGCGCACACTTGTGGCAACTCCATGGACACATTTCTTTCATTTCTTCAGGATCCTTTTGACATAATCCTTGCTTTGCCCATTGTCGACAATCATCATTTAGATCGTCACACTCTCCCCAATGAAAAAATTTCTCGTTCACTTCTCTTATATCACGATATACTAAAAAATTAATTTTATATATCTATCATTTAGGGTATGGGTAAAGTTAAAGATAATTGCAATTCATTTCTCGATAAAATGCGTCTTATTTTTCAAAACTTACATTTAGGAAAACAGTAGCCCCATCTCTTGTCCTTGTTGTAGTCAGTTGTTGTCGCACACCATGTTTTTTTATTAAAGCGTAGACAGTTATACACGAGTCTGTTTTTAAAGAAAAACGGAAATTTGCAAGGTTTTCCTCGCCCATTTCCTCCATGGGTGCACAAGCCGCAAGATCGTGGGCACTTTTTACACATGTACGGGGCATTGATTACACATTCGCCATCCATCGCCCAAGTTCCGCAACGACTGTGAAGGTCAATGCAATCGGTTACGTCCTTGTCTGTCTGACAGTGACCCCACTTCTTATCTCTGTCGTAGTTGTTGGTTGTTGCGCACCAAGGCAGGTTATGTTTGCAGTCCTTGTAGGTGCATGATGTGTAGTTCTTACCGTCGTAATAAAATGGAAAAACGCAAGGGGCGTTGTGGTCGTTTCCTGATAATGTGTAGACTGGAAAAAGCGAGAAAAATAGTGTTATTTGGTACAGATTTGTTATCTTTTGAAGCAACTGAATACTTTCCAATGTCTCGTTTGCAAAGAACAAAGAAAGTCTCACAAACGAGGAAAATGGTACACAATGCCAAAGTCTATCCCACTTTGACTGACGTAGTGTTACTAGAAATCTTTAATTTCTTCTCCCCGGATAAAATGCTGAGCTCTTCAGCACTTTCTCAAGTTTTACCGAGCTTTGCACCTTCCCAATCTTGACTCAAAAAGGATGAGTAAATTGTTTTGCTCAAGAACAGCCCGACAACCCTGACTAGCGTTCAAACCCGAACATTTTGATGCGAAGTCTAGCGCACCAACAACTGGTTTCTAACTGTTTACCCTCAATTGTAACTGTAATCCAACTTTGGGTTAAAACTGTAGACTTACTCCGCATCCCTTCCAAAATTACAAACCAGACTTTAAAGTGATCGAGCGCTTTCAAAGAGCTAATCAGAACATGCCTAAATGTCACACTGAGCTGATCAGAACTCAGAGTAAACTACCTTAAGCGCAGTGAAGCTACCTTAAGCGCAGTGCAGCTACCTTAAGCGCAGGAGTTACCTGCTGGTTTCCATTTGATTGGCTTAAAGTTTGGCGCAAGTAATTGAGGACAATCGTAAAAGCCAATGAAGCGAGACTAAAACAACCCTAGAACATCTTCGACATTCAATTAAAAACTTCTTACACCTTTCACAAGACTGAGTCAAATAATATGATAATGATATGATGATGTTATGTGATATTTAATATTTAATTAATCTGATCTTACCTACGCTTGTCCGACCTTCTTGATAAAGAACTGAGCCGGAAATATCGTGACGAGACACTCGGTGTTCACTTGAACGATGCACTGCATCATGTACGGATTTCAAAGACATAATTATATGATTCAGAATGCAGGAACTTGAAAAAGTGTCCAACAATTGTCGTAACTGCTTGAAAAGTGGCGAACCATTTATGGAGTACTGAATAAATGGGGCAAGTTTCTAAAGAAACTGTGGTGCTACGTCGGTAGGAAAGTATATCAGGGTAATTTGGTATTATTAACTGAGTTGATAACGTAAATTGGCCACCGTAAAGAGTTTGAAAGCGGACGTTTCGAGCTTTAGCCCTTCGCCAGGGCGAAAGACGAAGGGCTTACACTCGGAACATCCACTTTGAAACTTTTAACAGTGGCCAACTTACGTTAATCAACTTAGTTGATAGTGCCAAACTGCCTCACTAATGGAATGTTTTGACAAGAAGATAGAAAAATATGAGACTCAGTGCTACCACTCGCACTATCTTTGTGAATCCTACTGCTGTCAAATGTATTTGGGAATATGACCTCGGGATAATTTGTCTAACGACTGATCGTTACAAGAAGGGAAAGTTATTACAATAATTTTAAATTTTAGGATCTCACCTTTCGCCCTCGTTTCGACAACACTGAAGCAAAATCCCCACAACAGCAACACAGGGTTGAAAAGGGAGATTATGTTGAGTGTCTTCATGTGGATACAGAAGAGTGAGAGCAATATTTCTGTGAGTAAAAGTTTATTCCTTCGATCAGTATGCAGAACAATCTATCTGAAGGATATTTAAGCATCTTTAAATTGAACTTGCGATATTTTGCTAAAGAAATAGATAAATATATATTGAAGGAAATATGTAAGAAAGGGAATACCGTATTTCCTGGAATGGGTGTACGGGTGCTCATTTAAAGATTCGGCTAAAAAGGAGGGGCTTTCATTGGAAGGAGTGCATTTATCGAAGGGGGACTTATCGACTTAGTGTAGTAGTGTAGGCCAAAAATTAACAAAAAGAGATGACGCACATAAAAGAACTCTGCGATCACATGGACATGGATAAACTGGAACAGAAAAGAGACGTTTTTCCCGTACTGACTCCGTTCTAGTTAAAGCCTGAAAAGTTGAAGATAAAGAAATAGAAACTTGCTGTCTAAGAGAGTGAGAGAAGGGGGGAGAGGGGGGCGCTTTCTTGACATTATGGCTTAGGGGGGTAGGCACTTGTTCGGGGGAGGGCGCTTACCAGAGGTTGGGCGCTTATTCGAGGAAATACGCTACGTTATGTTATGGAAACATCATTTTTCTTACTTTAAAATTTTGTAAAAAAAATTGGATCTGTATTTCCCTTTATCTTAAAATCGAAATCTAAAGGAAGAAAAGAAAGTCTGCCTTTTTGGAATGTTTTAAACCAAGAAAGAGCTGAGAATAACAAAAAACACGAAAATATAAATCAGCTAATGAGATTCTCTGCCTTAGGAGATAAAAGATTAATCGCTCTCAGAAGGTAAGTGACATCTAACGGTCTCGAATAACTGACACCAGAACAAAGTAATTTATTGTCAATTTCATTGAAAGTAAATTATTTCATCTTTTACTTCTTTTTTCGCGGAATGTTTTTCCTGGAGATACATATTTTTGGCAAATCAAGGACAATCAACAACAGTTTAATCCCGCAAAATTTTTATATTATTCACTAAATCAAAAAAGAATGGTGGGGCCATTTGAAAACTGTCCGGAGAGGGTGGTACCTTGTCACTCTATGATTCGAGCAGTTCAATGACCAAGCAGGTAAAAAGATTCGTGGGGGTTTAGAATTCCTTTGATATCTTTGGGAAAAATGTTTTTCTTTGTTCCATTGGCCCCTTCTTTTTTGTTCCATTTTCCCTTTGTTTTTCAGTCAAATGACTTTGTTGAATCTATGTTAATATTCGGTTAAATTGCCGCGTCCTCACTTTATTCACAACTTTACTCAAGTGGTATCCCGTAGAAAAATCTTAACTTCTGATTTGAATACTCTTGATTGTGCTACTGATGGTGTTCAAAATTAACTAAACGTTTCAAACCAATTAAATCTCTTGTTTTCTTCAATTTATCAAGTCTGAACTCCTTACATACAAAAAAAAAAGCGAAAAAAAGTCGAAGTTATATTCCTAAAAATACGCCAATTTCACTATTTTTTTTTCTCCAAACGACAACGTTTTGAAACAATCTCTCGAGTTGATTTGCTATATACATGTGCGTAGACAGGCGTAATTACATATGGAAAGGCTTTGTATGTTGATTATTACATTCCCGTACGGGCCAATATCACTTACCCGGCCGTAAGGTCTAAACACGCCTCTCACAATTTCCCAGCTAGTGCCGTCTGCTATCACTCTTGACCACAGATACTCGGATTATTTCCGGAAGATTATAAAGAACATTATGAGCACTGAAAAGGCCTCGCCTCTAGGGAAACATCGTACTTAACAAGTTATCTGTGTAGCATCTGCTACTACCTGCTTAATTTAGAATATGTCACCTGGTCAAAGCAATTAATAGTGCATAGGCCAGCGTCTAAAAATCCACCTCTCTCGAAAGGAAAATTTATGCCCTTCAATGTTTTTTATGCCTGGCAGCCATGAACCAAATTTCTTTAAATCTAAATTACACCTTTAATTGACCTATTCCTATACTTTGTATGAAAAGACAAGCAGCTGAGTGTTGTTGTCCATATCAGTGTACATTATTCGCACGCTAATGCATAACCGCTGTTATGCACCAGCGGTAACATAAACCCATAACAACTTGACTTACGTGTATTGCAGACAAGCGATCCGACACAAAAGAAAACGTAGCTCTGAGCCAAAACTAGGAAGTTTTGAGTTCCTTTTCGAGTCATTAGCACAGAAAATGTAAAAGTTCACAGAATTTTGTAATTACTGTGGTAAAATTTTCATGCTAGGGGTAGGGAGGGCGGGGAGTTTACAGCAGTGCTTCTTTAAAATCCCGAACAAACATCATATTCTTTAGTAATTTTATCGTTGTTACATTTTTATTACAGCTGAGTGATCACGACATTGATCAATACATTGGCTAGAAAATAACTTTGATACTTATATTTTCCATAATCCAATATTCTAGGATTAGATTTTTGAACTCGAGATTTCTCTAGCGATAGCTGATGAGGGCAAAGTCGAAACGAACATTTACGCACAGAAATTTGAGAGTACATGGTCGAAATTTACTAATCATTAAAAGCATAACGACAAGACACTCTTGTTGTTATCTCTTTATGATATAAATAAATCACGCTACGCACAATTCAATTTACTCCCAAGTTAGCGTACAGGTTTTGTTTGCAAGTATCCCGGAATTGATGTTTATCGGGCTTCGAACACCTCGGCTCTGGCCTTCTCATCGTGTGCGTGCATGAGCGAAGCAATCTCCCCGCACTATAGATCTCTGAGCTGTGTTTTTTGGCGGGAGGGGGGGGGGGGGGCAGGAGGAAGGAGACCTGCTTTGAGTGAAACGGGGATGAACTCCAGAGAATATCAGCGGTTACAGCTTCGCCTTTTATTAAGATTCATTCAGTGATTTAATCCATTCTTTTGAATTCATACGCTCCCAGGTTACTTGATGGAAAACTTGTAATAACGGTATTGATAGTGGTTAATGTGATTGGATTGTATGGTCCTGTTACAACATGTCTTTTGTTTTGTAACTGTGATAAAGGCTTTGGATTGGAAAGGTTTTGTTTCTATGTTGCCAAAAATTCGTGTGGCTTTCGCAGAAAAAATTTTCCATAACATTTTGACCTCCTCGTTAGAGATTTTCTCACTCTTGACGTGGCATAAGTCTTTTTTTCCTTTTGGTAAGAAACAAAAGTAATGATAAATAAATCGACCCATTTGTAAATTGTTAACATGAGATGGAGCAATTTTCTATTTACTGAATGTGGTAAAACCAGGACCAAAGTATTTAAAGAAATACTCGCAAGTAAATACTAAGAGAACTAGTGAAAACTTAAAGTAAAAATAGCAAACTAACGGAGAGCATTAAAAATTCTTAAGACATCACAGTGACTGAGTATGCACGTGTATCCAATTGGTCATGGAGAAACGTAATAGTTTTCTAAAACAACCAGAGTGTAAAGCAAACAAATGAACAACTGCAATCGTGGTCTAGTCACTAAACGCTCAATTGAAAATTGCTCCATACCATGAATCTTCAATTTTTTATTTGAGTGAGCAAGAGTCTACATTACTGGACAATTTTTCCCTTCCTTGTACGGGTTTCCGCCCGCGGGAATCCCTTGGAGAAGACAATCGTCCTGTGCATTTTCTAGGCAATAGTTCATTATTTCTTCAGCTGTTCTGGAAACTTTCATCCTTTGCATCTTCGCTTGCCTGCGAAGGAGGTCTACAGTTTCTTTAAGAGCTGATTTCTTAGCAGGCAACGTGCAGTAGTTTTGTTTCGAAGGAGAAGACATTGTCTTAATCCAAAGTCTTTTCGAAGTTCTTTCTACAAAGGAAAAAACAGTTAAAAGAGAGTATTTTTTTTTACTGACTGGTTCACCTCTGTTTTAATCGCGCTATGAGCAGCTTGCTTTTTTATTCCCTCATGTGAATTCTCACTGGCCATTTGTGATATTTTCCATCGTTCGGATTTGCTGGTGTGATTACTTTGGCCCAAATACTTTTACGACACCCAATTTCAGTCTGGCAGATGAATATGTATATATAGAGTCTGCAGTAAACTTCGTCAAAATTTTTTTTCAAGATTTTCCTTCAGTTAATTTTGTCGTGAGCGCTTTTTGATTTAGGGTCTATAAAACAAAGTGATCACAACAGCCAATCCAATTAAAGGAGGGAAGATAACTTTCAGGCCCGATGAGAACTCAAAGTAAGAACAATCCAACTGCCTGAAGCGCGGGAAAACGTGGGCGACCAAATCATGATTGGTTTTTTTTTAGTTTTGCCTCTGATTGGATGAGAGAGTAGTGTTGTGTTTGAGCGCTTTTTGATTGAGTGTCGTTAGACCAAAGTAATCACAACAGCCAATCCAAAGAAAGGAGGGAAAATACTTGAACTTTAAGAGCCAATGACAAGTCAAAGTAAAAATAACCAAATTGCCTGAAGCGCGGGAAAACGCTGGCGACCAAGTCATAAATGGTTTTAGTTTAGCCTCCACGTTCCTTACTCAGTCAGTTCTCGGAAGCTGTGCACAGTCTAGATAATGATATTCCTAGGATGGACCAAATTAACCAAACAATTGCAAAAGTAGGTAATTTAGTGTTAACAACTGGGTTGAAAACGTAAATTAGCCACCGTAAAGGGTAAAGAAGCTGACGTTTCGAGCGTTAGCCCTTCGTCAGAGCGATTAGAGGAATTTTGGGTTGATTTCTTAGCAGACAACAGTACAACCCACAATTCCTCTAATCGCTCTGACGAAGGGCTAACGCTCGAAACGTCAGCTTCGTTACCCTTTACGGTGGCTAATTTACGTTTTCAACCCAGTTGTTAACACTAAATTACCTGCTATACTCTCCCATCGATGCAGCACCACAGTTTCTTTAGAAACTTACCCCTTTATTCAATTGCAAAAGTATACTACTTATTAACGTGACAATAGTTTCACTTCACCATTTGAACACGTGTGCTCGCGCCAAAACATTTGACGCGAGCACAAGTTTAACATGTAAATAAAAATGTTCCGGTAAAAAA